TGATGAGCCCTGGTCTGGGGGGAGAAATGCCAAAGGCCCCATGCTCTGGCTCCCCCCACCCCCACCAGCCCCAGCCCCAGATGTCCCTAGACACCAGGGCCTGTGGGAACTTGGGCACTGCGTGGGGCTGGGTAAGATGCCAAGGGACCATGCACCCGCAATATCCCCAAGCAGTGCCCGGCAGGCACAGTGCGTGTGTGTGAGACTGTGCTCTGGCAGGGACAGCGAGTGTGTGTGTGATTGTGCGCTGACAGGGATGGCATGTGTGTGTGATTGTGCGCTGGCAGGGACAGCGAGTGTGTGTGTGATTGTGCGCTGACAGGGATGGCGTGTGTGTGTGATTGTGCGCTGGCAGGGACAGTGAGTGTGTGTGTGGGGGGGTAGCTCAGTGGTTTGAGCATCGGCCTGTTCAACCCAGAGTTGTGAGTTCAATCCATATATGGATCTGGGGCAAAAATTGGGGCTTGGTCCTGCTTTGAGCAGGGGGTTGGACTAGGAACCTCCTGAGGTCCCTTCCAACCCTGATCGTCTCTGATTCTCTGTGTGTGTGGTTGTGTGCTGGCAGGGACGGGGTGTGTGCCCACACACGGCCCTGGAAGTCTGAGCCATTGGAAGGAGTCGCAGGGACCAGGACACCGAAGCCACCTGCACCCCACAAAGGGTTAAACGCTCCGGGTTGACCATTAACTTCTCCCAAGGGAGCGTGGGACGAAGGTCGCTGGGGCCCAGGATTCGCTCTGGCTTCGGGTGGGGAGGGGGGCAGCCCCGATCCTGCCGGCACAGCACCACGGACAGACAGCTGGATGGGGCGGGGTATACAGAGAGACGGGTCTGCCTGGAGATAGACAGATAGCGTGGTAGCCGGTTTGGTCCCAGAGGGTGGGGAACGGACCCTGTTCCGGTGGACTGGCCGTGGGACCTGTCATACCCCCCGCTGCCCCCCCCCCAGCCAGCCCCACGCTGATTGGGACATGTGCTTTGCTCTGCTGGGACTGGTGTGAATGGGCGCACAAGGGCCCGCGGCCGCGCTTTGGGCCCCGGCGTCCCTCCCCCTCCCCAAAGAGTGACACCCTCCCACCCCCCGCTCCGTGGGGCACTGCCCTGCCCAGCGTGACGCTCCCCGGCTTGTCCTCGTGTCTCAGCCCAGGGGCGAGCGGGCCAGGATGTGCGACGGGCCGGCCAGGCGGAAGGTCGGGGTCGTGGGCTTTGGACATTTGGGTATGTTGTAAGCCCCCCGCCCCGCCCCGCCTGCCAGTTGCTTCCCAGGGGATTGGGGCTCACCCAGGGCTCAGGGGGCTGCTGCTTCCCTGGCTGGGGCCCTGGGGGCTGGACGGGGGGGCTGAAACGGGGGGGGGGGGAAAAGACAGGCGGGGTGGCTTTATGGGCCGCAGCACTGCACCTGCGGCAAGAATTCTGGGCCTGGTGGGGGGGCAGCTCCACCCCCCTCAACCTGAGGGGCCTGGTCCTGGGGCGGGCGGGGAGTGGGGGGAGTTGGGTGTACGGGCCCCTGGGGTTCCCAGCCATGTCAGTCAAGCCCCCTCCTCGCCCTAGGCCAGTATCTGGTCCGGAGACTCCAGGAGGAGGGACCCCGGCACGGCCTGGAACTCGCCTTCGTCTGGAACCGGGATGCGCGGAAGCTGCAGGGGCAGGTGCCGGCTTCCCTCCAGCTGCAGGACCTGGCCCGGTTCCCCGAGCGGTGAGTGCTTCCCGAACCCCCCCTCCAGCTGCAGGACCCGGCCCGGTGCCCCGAGCGGTGAGTGCTTCCCGAACCCCCCCTCCAGCTGCAGGACCTGGCCCGGTTCCCCGAGCGGTGAGTGCTTCCCGAACCCCCCTCCAGCTGCAGGACCTGGCCCGGTTCCCCGAGCGGTGAGTGCTTCCCGAACCCCCCTCCAGCTGCAGGACCCGGCCCGGTGCCCCGAGCGGTGAGTGCTTCCCGAACCCCCCTCCAGCTGCAGGACCTGGCCCGGTTCCCCGAGCGGTGAGTGCTTCCCGAACCCCCCCCCTCCAGCTGCAGGACCTGGCCCGGTTCCCCGAGCGGTGAGTGCTTCCCGAACCCCCCCCCTCCAGCTGCAGGACCCGGCCCGGTGCCCCGAGCGGTGAGTGCTTCCCGAACCCCCCCCTCCAGCTGCAGGACCCGGCCCGGTTCCCCGAGCGGTGAGTGCTTCCCGAACCCCCCCCCCTCCAGCTGCAGGACCCGGCCCGGTTCCCCGAGCGGTGAGTGCTTCCCGAACCCCCCCCCTCCAGCTGCAGGACCCGGCCCGGTTCCCCGAGCGGTGAGTGCTTCCCGAACCCCCCTCCAGCTGCAGGACCCGGCCCGGTTCCCCGAGCGGTGAGTGCTTCCCGAACCCCCCCTCCAGCTGCAGGACCCGGCCCGGTTCCCCGAGCGGTGAGTGCTTCCCGAACCCCCCCTCCAGCTGCAGGACCCGGCCCGGTTCCCCGAGCGGTGAGTGCTTCCCGAACCCCCCTCCAGCTGCAGGACCCGGTCCGGTGCCCCGAGCGGTGAGCGCTTCCCGAACCCCCCTCCAGCTGCAGGACCCGGCCCGGTTGCCCGAGCGGTGAGCGCTTCCCGAACCCCCCCCCTCCAGCTGCAGGACCCGGCCCGGTTCCCCGAGCGGTGAGCGCTTCCCGAACCCCCCCCCTCCAGCTGCAGGACCCGGCCCGGTTCCCCGAGCGGTGAGCGCTTCCCGAACCCCCCCCCTCCAGCTGCAGGACCCGGCCCGGTTCCCCGAGCGGTGAGTGCTTCCCGAACCCCCCCCCTCCAGCTGCAGGACCCGGTCCGGTGCCCCGAGCGGTGAGTGCTTCCCGAACCCCCCCCCTCCAGCTGCAGGACCCGGTCCGGTGCCCCGAGCGGTGAGTGCTTCCCGAACCCCCCCCCTCCAGCTGCAGGACCTGGCCCCTGAGACCCTATGGCTCCTGCTACAGCCCAGCCCAGCATGGGCAGTGCCAGCATTAATGTGCCCCCGTCATGCCCCCCGGTCGCTGTCTCCTGTCCCTGCAGCGAGGCGGATCTAGTGGTGGAAGTGGCTCATCCCTGCATCGTCCGGGACCACGGCGCGACCTTCCTGTCCGGGGCAGATTTCATGGTGAGGGGTGGGAGCGGCACCATCCCTGGCTGGCAGCGGGGTACCCAGGGGACGGGTGGCATGGAGCGGGCACAGCACAGGGCCCTCCTGGAGATGCGGGAACACGAGGGGGAAGCCCTGGGGCTGTGACGATGCCATGCGGGAGACGCCTAGGGGGACGGGATGGCAGTGGGCAGGGACGTTCTCTGTGGGGGTGAGGGTGTGACGTAGGGGTGGCCAAGGGGAGTGAGGGTGCCCTGGTGGGGGGGTGTGTGTGCAGTGTGTGTGTGTGTGGGGGGGTCCTGGCTTACTGCAGGCAGCTTTCCAGGTTTCTTTCTCCCCAGGTGGGCTCCCCCACGTCCCTGGCTGACCAGGCCACGGAGATGCGGCTGAGGGAAGCTGCCCAGCGTGGGGGGCACACGCTGTATGTGCCCCGGGGGGCGCTGTGGGGCGGCGAGGACATCCAGCGCATGGATGACAGGGGCGTGCTGCAGGTGGGGGTCTTGGGCCTGCCTGGGGAGGGGGGCACGTGGACCCTGGTGTGGGGCAAGGGACAGCGATAAGAAACTGTCTCTGCTCCCCTGGGGAAGTGTGGGGGGGGGTAAAGGGGGCTATCCCCCCCCCCCCCCCCCGCAGGGCTGACTCTCTGCCCTCGCTTTCCAGGGCCTGAAGGTGACCATGATCAAGCATCCAGACAGCTTCCGGCTGGAGGGGGCGCTGAGGGAGCGGCTGGGGGCCGCGCGGGCCGTGCTGTACGAGGGGCCCGTGCGGGCTCTCTGCCCGCTGGCCCCCAATAATGTCAACACCATGGCGGCTGCTTGCATGGCCGCCCCCAGCCTGGGCTTCGATGGGGTCCAGGGGTGTCTCATTGCTGACCCCAGGTTAGTGCATCCCCGCCTGCTCCCTGCTCCCCTGATCCCTGCACCCCCCTGCTCCCTGCACTCCCCCAGTTCCCTGCTCCCCCCATCCCTGCTCCCTGTACCCCCCCGCTCCCTGAACCCCCAGATCCCTGCTTTCTGCACCCCCCCTGCTCCCTGCACCTCCCCCAGATCCCTGCTCCCTGAGCCCCCGATCCCTGCTCTCTGCACCCCCCAGTTCCCTGCACCCCCCGATCCCTGCTCCCTGCACCTCCCAGTTCCCTGCTCCCTGCAGCCCCTGCTTCCTGCACTTCCCCAGTTCCCTGCTCCCCCCTGCTCCATGCACCACCCAGTTCCCTGCACCCCCCCCCCAGTTCCCTGCTCCATGCACCCCTGCCCCAGTTCTCTGCTCCCCTCCAGCCCGTCTGTGCATGGCTGCCCCCACCCTGCTGTCTCCAGGACAGTGCCGCTCCCTGCCCTGATCCTTGCATCCCTCATGTCTCTTTCCCCCAGCATGGTCCCCCCCCCACCCCGGCACTGACCTCACTGCCCTCCCGTCCCCACAGCCTCCCTGACTGGCATGTGGTGGAGGTGGAGGTGACCGGCCCATCCGGCGAGCGCGGGGACCAGGCCTTCACGGTCACCACCAGGCGCAGGAACCCGGCCTCCCCGGGAGCTGTCACTGGGGCAGCTACCTTCCCTTCGTTCTGGAGCAGCCTGCTGGGTACGGGAGGGGAGGGTGGAGGGCCTTTGGGTATGTATGGGGGGCGGAATCTGCCTGCTGGGACAGACTCAGCCCTGGGGAGAGCGACTCCTGGAGGCCACCACTGCGGGGAGTGGGGGTGGGGGGGGGTCCCCCAGACCTGGGGAGTGCAGCTGTCACTAGGGGCTGCAGGGACTGGCTAATGCCTGGGCCAAGGTGTCTTCTGTGGGGGATGAGGTACCCTGGGCTGGGGGCTCTCCTGAATTGGGTGGGTAGGGGGGCCCTGTCCCCACAGCTCAGCCCCTCTGACCTCCCCTTCTCATTTCCCCTGCAGCTTGCCAGGGCCACCGAGGGCATGTCGTTTTGTGCTGATGCTGGTTCGGGGCCGGAGGGACCAGCCCCAGGGAGCCGGCTGAAGCCAGTGGGGCTGGCAGTGTGTGTTGCGGGGGGCGTTGCCTCTGCCTAAGAGATCGCTGAAGAGAGGGTGGCAGGGAGGAAGGGTGGGAAATCTTTCGCACTTGGTCCCAGAGGCGTGATGGGGGATGTAGTACTTGCTCCCCAGAGCCGAGTGGGAGTCACAGTGTACGTAACCCCGTCCTGCAGGTGTTACCGTCCTGCAGAGACTGGTGTAGGCGGCTGCTTTTGGGTAACGACGGGACCTGTGCAGCGGAACCTCAGCGTTACGCACACCGGAGTGACCAACGGACGGGTCAACCACAGCCCTCCTTGGGCACCGCACGCACGCGAGCCGGCAACAGCCGCAGAGACAAACCGAGCAAGTCCAGTACAGTCCTGTGTTAAATGTAAACGACTAAAAAAAAAGAAATAAAAGGAAAGTTTAAAAAAAGAAAGATCTGAGGAGGCAAGGAAACCGTTTCTGGGCTTGTTTCATTTAAATTAAGATGGTTAAAAGCAGCCGGTTTTTACTTCTTCTTCTGCCGAGGGAAGTTTCAAAGTGCAATGAGGTCAACGGTCAGTTGTAAACTTTTGCGAGACCCGCCCTGCTCAGCGTTATGGACATTTCACAGTTACGATCACAACCTCCGTTCCCGGGGTGTGCGTCACTGTGAAGTTCTCCCCTAGTTCGTTGTAGACAGGGGCATGGGGCGGGGGGACGGGGACACATACGTCGTGTGTTTGCAGCTGGGCGCCGTAGTTCGTAGCTTCCCGGTGGGAGATAAAGGTCACTGTGTTCAGCTGTAAGCTTTCCGTGCGTGGGGCCTGGTGCAAGCCGGGCTCTGTTCCCTGTAAGCTGTGCCCGTGTGCACACAGATCCTAAGCCCCGCGCACACGGCGAAACCCCGCGCGCACAAAAATGTTCACAGAAACACACCAATTTGCACAGAAGACATTTTTTGCGCACACGGCCTGTCAAAAGTTGGCACAGAAGAAACGTTTTGCGCACGCGGCCTGTCAAAAATTAGAGGGGACGTTGGGCTGGGAGCTGTACCCACTGTGGGCAGGAGCGATGGAACCTCCCTAAAAGTGGGGGGCCCACCAGCACCTGAACCGTGCCCCACCCACATCCTCACGCCGCCCCTTCCCCCAAGACTCTGCCCCCACTCGCTCCTCTCCGCCCTCCCCTCTGTGCCGCTCGCCCTTATGGACTGTAAAAAACAGGAGGGCAAAGCCAGGGCCCCCTGGCTCCCCCGTTCCGCCGACCCTGATTGCGGGTAACGGGACAGGCGAGCCAAGGCCTGGCCCAAAACTAAAGGCCCGCCCCCCCTCGCACAAGGGGGAGGACCCGCAAAGCGCGGAGTGGGGGTCCGAGGGTGAAAATGAGGGGTCCAGCCGGGGGCACACGGCGCAGAGAATCGCAGCCAAGAGGAAACTCGGCCTGGAGACGGGGGGCAGCGAGACGGGGGGCAGCGAGGGATTGAAAACAGATCACTGACCCCCCCCGTCCCCCAGCCTAGCGGGGCTGGGAACTGGGGGGCCACCCAGGCCGGAGAGGGGACCCCAGCGGGGCAGAGGAAACGGGGGCCCGGGGAGCTGTCGTGCCAGGCACGGGCCGGGTCACTGAGGTCAGTGGTGCATGCTGGGAATGGTCATTTTTTTGGGGGGGACCCCCAGACTGTAACTGTAGCTGTCACTCATAGCACCGTGCATGCTGGGAGCTGCAGGGCAGGGGGCCTGGGGCATGCTGGGAGCTGTAGTTCGGGTTGGCGCGATGCATGGCGGGAGATGCCTGGTTCTGGCCCTGGGGCATGCTGGGAGCTGTAGTCCGGGTTGGCGCGGTGCATGGCGGGAGATGCCTGGTTCTGGCCCTGGGGCATGCTGGGAGCTGTAGTTCGGGATGGCGCAGTGCATGGCGGGAGATACCCTCTTCTGGCCCTGGGGCATGCTGGGAGCTGTAGTCCGGATTGGCGCGACGCAGGATGGGAGCTGTGACGCTTTGGCCCCATTGCATGCTGGGAGCTGTGGTCATTCTGGCCCCGGTGCAGGCTGGGAGTGCGCTGACCTACCCCCCATTGCAAGCTGGGAGCTGTGGTGCATGCTGGGAGCGGTAGTTCGGGTTGGCGCAAGGCACGCTGGGAGCGGTGGTGCTGCCCGGGCCCCGGGGCATGCCGGGAGCTGTAGTCCCCGGGCCCGACGCCTTGCGGCTGCGGGGCGGGTCTCAGGCTGTTCCGGGCTGGGGGATGAGGGGCCCCCCCGGCTGCAGCGGGAGCTCCAGGGTAGGTCCGGGGGGGCCGGGCAGCCCCAGCTCGCAGAGGAGACGGGCCCGTGCGGGGGGGTCCAGGCACGTCCTGCCCCCCCCACCCGAGGGGGCCGGGGGGGCCCCGGGGGCGGCGGCTCTGCCTCGCTGGGGGAGGAGGGGTCGGGAAGGGGAGCGGGGAGGGTGTGGGGGGGTCGGGGAGTAGGGTGGGGTGGGGGGAAAGGGAGGGGAGCGGGGGGGTAGGAGGGGGAGGGGAGCGGGGGGGGTCGGGGCGGGGGAAGCGGGGGGGCGGGGGAGTAGGAGGGGGGAGGGGAGCGGAGAGGTCGGGGGGTAGGAGGGGGAGGGGAGCGGGGGAGGTCGGGTCGGGGGGGGGAGGGAAGCGGGGGGTAGGGAGGGGGGGGGAGGGGGGGGGTCGGGGGGAAGGAGGAGGGGGGAGCGGAGCGGGGGGGTCAGGGGGGTAGGAGGGGGGAGGGGAGGGGAGCGGGGGGGAAGCGGGGGGGTCGGGGAGGGGAGCGAGGGGGGTCGGGGGGTAGGAGGAGGGGGAGCGGAGCGGGGGGGGTCGGGGCGGGGGGAGCGGGGGGGGTCAGGGGGGTAGGAGGGGGGAGGGGAGGGGAGGGGAGCGGGGGGGTCGGGGAGGGGAGCGGAGGGGGGGGGTCCGTCCCCCAGCCCGTGGCCTAGCCCTGCCGCCCGCCTCTCTCGCTCTCTCCTGCGCAGGCGGCCGCGCTCGGGGCCGCGCCGTGAGGCTCCCTCGCCCCGCGCAGCGCCTGGCCGGGGCGCGATGTCCGCGGGGCCGGGCGGGGGGCCCGGGGTCTACCACGAGCGCCAGCGCCGGGAGCTCTGCGCCGTGCACGCCCTGAACAACGTCCTGCAGCAGCGGCGCTTCACCCAGGAGGCGGCCGACGAGATCTGCAAGAGGTGGGGGCCCCCCCCGCCCCCATCTGCCCCGCCCGGCGCCCCCCGCCCCGCCCTCCATCGCCCCCTGCCCCGCCCCTCCCCTGCCCCCCCTATCTGCCCCGCCCGGCGCCCCCCGCCCCTCCCCTGCCCGCCCCGCCCCCCATCTGCCCCGCCCAGCGCCCCCCGCCCCTCTCCTGCCCGCCCCGCCCCCCATTGCCCCCTGCCCCGCACCCCCGCCCCTCCCCTGCCCCCCATCTCCCCCTCCCCTGCCCCCCATCTCCTCCGCCTGGTGCCCCTTGCTCCTGCCCTCCCTGCCCCAGTTCCCCCTTCCAAGCCACCCAACTCCCCCGCCCGGCACCCCACGTTCTCCCAGCTGCCCCCGGGTCACTGATGGGGACCTGTCTCCCCCCCCAGCCTGGCGCCGGACGCCCGGCTGAATCCCCATCGCAGCGTCCTGGGCACAGGCAACTACGACGTCAACGTGATCATGGCGGCGCTGCAGAGTCTGGACTTCGCGGCCATCTGGTGGGACAAGCGCCGGTGAGAGGGGGCAGGCGGGGGGCAGATCCCCCCCCCCCGTCACATCGCAGAGGCCCCTGGTGCCATGTGTGACCCCGGCCTGGCTCCAGCTGGCTCTGAGAGTAGGGCGACCAGGCAGCAAGGGTGGAAAATCAGGACCGGGGGGGGATGGATAGGTGCCTATATAAGACACAGCCTCCCCAAAAAAATCAGGACTGTCCCTCTAAAATCGGGCCATCTGGTCACCCTAGCTGAGAGGCCAACGTCGGCCCTGAAATACCCTGGGCCTGGAGGATGCTCCCTGCCGCCCCGGGGCCTCCTTGTCCGTCTGCTTTCCCCTCCCCGCTGTGTGTCCACCATCGTGTCCCCCTCTGGCTGTTTCTCTGGAGCAACCCCTCCTTCGGTCTCGGTGTAACCCCTAATTCTGCCCCCCGCCGGCAGGCCCCTGGAGCAGCTGGCGCTGAGCCGGGTCTACGGCTTCATCGTGAACGTGCCCTCCAACGTGTCCCTGGGCTTCGTGTCCCTGCCCGTGCGGCGTAAGCACTGGATCGCCGTGCGCCAGGTGGGAGGCACCTACTACAACCTGGACTCCAAGCTGAAGGCCCCGGCCTGTGTCGGCGGAGAGGGGGAGCTCAGGTGTGGGGGATGGGTTGGGGGTGGCAGGGATGTGGGGGCGGGGAGGGGGAACTCAGGGGTGGGTGACGGGCAGGAGGATCTGGGGGCAGGGAGGGGGAGCTCAGGGTGGGTGATGGGCAGGGGGTGGGGGAATCTGGGGTGGAGAGCTCGGGTGGGTGACGGGTAGGGGGAGCTGGGGGCGGTGTGGGTGGAGCTCAAGATTGGGTGACAGGCAGGGGGTGGGGGGAGCCGGGGGCAGGGAGGGGGAGCTCAGGGTAAATGACAGGTGGGAGGGGGTGTGAACAGTGTAACACTGTTGTGAAAAAAGCAAACCTCATTCTGGGCTGTAGCAGCAGGAGTGTGGTAAGCCAGAGACGAGGAGTGATTCTTCCGCTCTGCTCCGTGCTGAGACAGTCTTGGCTGGAGTATCGGGTCCAGTTCTGGGCGCCACGTTTCAGGAAAGAGGTTGACAAACTGGAGAAAGTCCAGAGGACAGCAAGAAAAAATGATGACAAGTCTAGAAAACATGAGCTCTGGGGAAAGATTGAAGACCTGGGGCTTGTTTAGTCTGGAGAAGAGAAGCCGGAGCGGGGACATGAGAACAGTTTGCAAGTACAGAAAAGGCAGTTACAAGGAGGAGAGAGAAGAATTGTTCTTCCGAATCTCTGAGGACAGGACAAGAAGCCGTGGGCTTAAATTGCAGCCAGGGGGGTTCAGGTTGGACATTAGGAAGAACTTCCGAGCTGTCAGGCTGGTGAAGCACCCGAATAAATTGCCCAGGGCGGTGGTGGAATCTCCGTCACTGGGGATTTTTAAGAGCGGGCTGGACAAACCCCTGTCAGAGACGGTCTAGATAATACTTAGTCCTGCCGTGAGCGCAGGGGACTGGACTAGGACACCTCGCAAGGTCCCTTCCAGCCCTACGGTGCTATGTGGGGGGGAGAGGAGGGTGGTGCAGGCATGGGGGGGCAAGCGGGGGCAGGTCACGGAGAGCTGGGGGGGGGAAGGGGGCACGGGCAGAAGTGGCTGGAGTGCAGAGAGCAGAGCTAAGGTGCGGGGGGGAGGGCGTCGGGGTCTGGACGAGGGGGCCGTGCAGGGCAGGAGCGTGGCGAGATGTGTAAGACGGGGTGCAAAGCAGGGGCTGCTCTGACCCCCCCATCTCCTTGCCCCTCCCCCCAGGGCTTTCCTGCAGGATTTCCTGTCCCAGGGCCCCTGCGAAGTGCTGTTGGTCGTATCCCGGGCCGTGGAGGAATCCGGTGGCTGGTTGAACCCGGAGTGACGCTGCGGATACCAAAGATCCTGACTGTTCGTAGCAGCCTTGCCGGGGGGTGGGGAGGGGGGCAGGACCCACACGCTGAATCCAGCTTAGGCACAGCCCTCCCTGGCACTGGCATCAGATACCCCATCCCGCCTGCCCTGAGGAGTGCACTGGGGGGGGCCCTTCACCCCACGGGCCCTGCAGCTGGAGGAGGCACCGTGGGGCCACAGGAGAAGCTGGCTTAGGGTGCCCGGCCCCATTTCCCTGGTGCCTGCTGGGCTCGGCTACAAGTGCTTGCAAAGTTTATGATAAAGGACACAACGCTGACGCTGCCTTGGTGTCATTGCTTGGGGTGGGGACGGTGCCGGGTTTCTTTGCGGGGGGAGGAAACTGAGGGCAGCGCGGGGGGTGGGAGCAAGGGATGTGGGGTCGGGGGGGGGTCACCCAGCTGAGACTTTGAGATCCCTGGGTTCTATGCTGCTAAGGTGCAGACAGGCCCTTTCCGCTCCCCACACCTTTGGCACCTGCTTCCAGCCCCCCAGGGAAGGGTCCCAGCTCCCTGCCCCCCTCCCTTACTCAGTGAACCCCTGGTGAAGATGGTGCCTGTGTGGCAGGTTGGAGCCCCCTGGCGATTGTGCTTTCACCACTGGGGAGGTGTCTTTGTGGGGGTGGGGGGATTGGGGCTGGGCTCCGTCTGGGGCTGGGGCCTGTCGCTGGCCGGGGAAGTCCCTGGGGCTGGGGGCGGGCGCCGGCTGCGGAGAGCTGCGCGTCTGTGCCAGGCACGTGGCGGTCTGTGCCCAGGACTTGTCTCTCACCCCTCCGCCCGCGCGGGGCTCTGGAGCAGGTGCTTGGGAACAGCTGGGAGCAGGAGCCGCTTTTGGGGTCAGCCCGGCCCTGTCTCCGAGGAGGGAGGTGGGGGGGGGCCCGGGCCCCCCGCACCTGGAGCAGCGTCACCAAGGCCCGGCAGCTGTCGGTGTCGCTCAGTGGCACCGTCCCAGCTGCCACTCAGCCCCCGGCTCCCTCCCCCTCCGCCGAGTGCCAAACGCACAGCTCGGGGCGGAGAGACGGACCCCGCTTAGCTGGCTGCCGGGGCTGCGGGACCCTCGCCGTGCCGCCCGGTGTGGGGCCGGGGCCTACGAGCCATGCTGTCCTCTCCGGCCGTCGTGCTACACCCGTACAGCCTGCCCGTCTACCCGCAGGTGCCCCAGTGCTATCCCGGCCTGGTTCAGGTACCCGCTTCCCATCTGTGTGTGTGTGCGTATCTGTGCCCCCCCGGCAGTGACCGGCCAGGCCCGGGAGCCAGGAGCCCCCCGGGGGAATTCGAAGGGGCGTCTGTAACACCGCGCACCTGTCAGCACCGCAGGGAGATAACCCCTTGCTCCCTGGATTCCTCGTCTCCATTCGGGGGGCCTCCGTCTCCCGGGAGGTCAGATAGCAGAGACGGGTGGCCATGTATGGGAAGAGCTATTTGCAGCTCTGGGGGAAGGCTGGAGAGGCCGGGCCTAGTAAATTCAGCTTCTCCGGGTCTGAGAGTTCCCCCAAGGGCTGCAGGATTCACGCCTTCTGCCCTTACCCTTGGGGGTTTGACCTTCGAGCAGAGGGATGCTCGCCCACCTCTGCAGCGGGGCAGGAGCCCTTGCTGGTCTGTGCTCCCCCTGGCCTGGTTAGCCCCGATGTAAGTCGTGCTCAAAGGTCCCCGCCCACGCCACCCCCTGCCTCTCTCGCTGGAACCCCGCTGTGCCTTGGGGCTGCACGGAGGGGACTGGATGAAAGGGGCACAGCTCCATCTCCCAACAAAGGAAGGGGCCAGAAACTCACAGCTCGGGGGGATAACCAGCTCCCAGGGGAAACTTCCCCCAGCAACTCCCTCGGGTCGGGGTTTGCCCCCAAAGCAAGAGGAAGCAGGGGCGCCGTCCTTTCTGCTTCCAGCCTGTCACGCTCTGGCTGATTGCATTCGCCATATCAGTGGGCAGCCCGTGCTAAACTTGTGCTCTCCGCACAATCATGTAGCAGGGAGTTCCACAGGTCAAGCCGGAGGGGCATTTTTCTCAGGTCCGGTCTGAGTCTGCTGCCGTGGTGTTTGGCCAACTTGGCCCCTGGATGTGGCTTTCCAAGATGGGGCAGGTAGCGGCACCCCCACCCCCAATCCCTGACCCCTTGCTGCACCTGTCTCCCCCCCACGGGCACCTCTCCTGAGACCCATCGCCGATCCCCGCCCTTCGGAGCCTGTCCCACGTGGGAGGGGGCTGTTGTCAAGTGCGACATGAAGGGGGGACCCAGCCCCTAGGGAATGGGGGAGCTGAGGACATTGTGTTTATGCAGCCCTGCCCCCACTCCCGGGTTAGAGACACCCCAGGGGCAGGGGTGATGAGGGTTTGTGGCATCCCTGTCCCTCCCCCCCATCTCTCCCACTCCTCCAGGGGACCGGAATGCAGAGGGGCAGGGCCCATGGGCCTTTGTCTCCCCCCACATCTCCCCCTCGGCCCCCCTCCCCACCAGGCCTTGAGTGATTGGGGAAGATGTTGCTATTTATATCCAGCCAGATGCCTTGATAGCGGCTTCTAAAAGCAGCTGTTGGGGCTGGGGGGGGGAGACGTGGATGGGAGGGTCTTATCTATGTATGAGAGGCTGGGCCCCACATGGGGGGTGAGGTTGGCAGATTAAGCCAGTGCTTAGGACCTGGAGCAGCAAGATCCCCCCCCCTTCACTTTTTATTCTAAGAACCTGCCTGTTTTAGGATTGTGGGGTTTTTTTCGGGGGGGGGGCAAATATTCTTGCTAAGGGCCCTCACTGGGCCAGCACCGGCTCTGATTTTATCCCCCCTGCTCCCAGCATTCGGAGCGACCCGTCTGCAATAACCCCCCCCCAGCTGCAGCTGTTCCCCCCGCTCCGTCAGAGCTCTGCCTCAGGCCCCAGCCGCTTCTCGGGGACCCTCTGCTGCCCCGCAAGGAGGACCCCCGGGGGCTGTCGTCTCCACAAAACTGTCCCGCGTCCGCTCGCCCCGTCCGCTTGACAGCGGTTGGCTTGGGACGCATCACTGCGGCCGAAAGCCGTGGGGAAGGAGCCACGGGCCCTGCCTCGAGAGCGGGAATGGGGGAAAGCCTGGAGGGTTTAAGAGAAACGTGCCGGAGCCGTATAAACCAGGGGTGGCCAAACTTGCTGCCCTCCGAGCGGCCCACGGCAACCTTCAGAGGCTTCAAAATCACGCCTGCCGGAGCTCGGGGCTTCTGCCCGGTGGTGGGGCTCGGGGCTTCTGCCCTACAGGGAAGGGGGGCCCAGGGCTCTGCCCCATGGGAGGCGCCTGCCGGGGCTGAAACCCCCAGGCCCCTCTCCCCGCAGGGCAGAAACCCCAAGTCCCCCCTCCAGTCTGGTAGGCGGAGAATGGGCAGGGGCGTGGGCGTGGGGGTGGGGGGGCTCTATGGGTCACACTTGAACTTAAAGAGCCACACGTGGCTTGCGAGCCGTGGTTTGGCCACCCCCGATTTAAACCCTCAGCTCGGCCGTTACGCCGGCTACGGTTTTGGCTCACCAGACGTTTTCCTGCCGCTTTATTATACAGTCATTCCCCCCCCCCCCAGAAAAAGGGTGTTTGGGGTGGGGGGAACCGACCCCATCTGGAGCCCAGGGGACCCCAAGTCTTTGCGTGACTGCCGGAGAAGTCAAGTCCGGGCATTTCGGCCTTTGGCAGGCCCCCGCGTCAGCCCAGGGCCCAGTCGCCAAGTCGGCGAATGATGCTCCGAATCGTGGCCGGGGCCTGGTGGCGCAGCAGGTGCCATGGCGCGAAGGCAGCGGGGGGCCGGTCCCCGCGGGGGCCAAACGGCGCTGGGGGCTGAAGCCCCTTTACCCTGCCGGACGGGGACCTCAGGGCCAGGGCTGTTCCCATCTAGTGCGAGTGGCTATTACAAAGGAAACAACCTCCCCAGTCCCCACCCCGGTTAGCCCAGCGGGGCACAGGCCAGGTAGGGACCGGGCTGAACCCGGGAGAGGTTCAGATCCCAAAGGGGTGGTTGGGGGGAGGCAGGTGTGTCCGTGGGGAGGGAGAGAGGGTATGTGGGGGGAGGTCAGTGTGTGTGTGTGTGTGTGGGGGGGGGGGGGATGGAAGAATTCTTGTGTAAGGAGAAGGAGGGAGATGGGGATGGAGGGGGATGGAGGGAGGGGTGGGGATAGATGAGGGAGGGGTGAGTGGGGAGATGGAGGGGTGTGCAGGTGGGAGGGGTGCGGAGGGAGATGGAGGGAGGGGTGGGGATAGATGAGGGAGGGGTGAGTGGGGAGATGGAGGGGTGTGCAGGTGGGAGGGGTGGGAGGGAGCTGGAGGGAGGGGGTGGGGATGGATGGAGGGAGGGAGGGGTGAGTGGGGAGATGGAGGGGTGTGCAGGTGGGAGGGGTGCGGAGGGAGCTGGAGGGAGGGGTGGGGATGGGTGGAGGGAGGGGTGAGTGGGGAGATGGAGGGGTGTGCAGGTGGGAGGGGTGCGGAGGGAGCTGGAGGGAGGGGTGGGGATGGGTGGAGGGAGGGGTGAGTGGGGAGATGGAGGGGTGTGCAGGTGGGAGGGGTGCGGAGGGAGCTGGAGGGAGGGGTGGGGATGGGTGGAGGGAGGGGTGAGTGGGGAGATGGAGGGGTGTGCAGGTGGGAGGGGGCGGAGAGGGATGGATGGAGGGAGCAGTGGGGGGAGGGAGGGGGTGGGGATGGGTGGAGGGAGGGGTGAGTGGGGAGATGGAGGGGTGTGCAGGTGGGAGGGGTGCGGAGGGAGCTGGAGGGAGGGGTGGGGATGGGTGGAGGGAGGGGTGAGTGGGGAGATGGAGGGGTGTGCAGGTGGGAGGGGTGCGGAGGGAGCTGGAGGGAGGGGTGGGGATGGGTGGAGGGAGGGGTGAGTGGGGAGATGGAGGGGTGTGCAGGTGGGAGGGGTGCGGAGGGAGCTGGAGGGAGGGGTGGGGATGGGTGGAGGGAGGGGTGAGTGGGGAGATGGAGGGGTGTGCAGGTGGGAGGGGGCGGAGAGGGATGGATGGAGGGAGCAGTGGGGGGAGGGAGGGGTGCGGAGGGAGATGGAGGGACCCCTCACTTCCCGCCCAGTCCCCGGGGAGCAGGGTGCTGCGTTCACCCCCGCGCTTGGGGTGGGGGCCAGGGGGCAGCGAGTAGGGCGGGGGCTGGGGCAGGGACACTGACTCCCCAGGTCTGTGAGGGGCCCCTGGGGGGGCAGGTTCTCCCTGGGAGGGGGTACTGAGGGGGGGGTGTCCCGGGGGGCCCGGCAGATCCTGCAGCTGTCGGACTGCTCCCTGGAGGGTTAGAAAATCCTCAAACAGCTGAAAAAGGCCATAGCCCAAATAGGGTCGGGGGGCGGGGGGAGGGTCGATAAGGGGCAGCCAATGGGACGCCCCCCCACAGCCCCTCCCGCTCCCCATTGGCTGCTGCTAGGAGGGGAGGGGTCTGCATCCCACTGGCCTTATAGCCCCTGGGCTGGGGGACAAAGGCTACATCCCCCCAGCATCCCCCAGCCGGGCCGGCGGCCCCAGGCAGCTGCTGGGATGGGGCTGGTGCTCAGTGTAGGTGGGTCGAGTGAGGCGGGTGGGGAGCCAGGACTCCTGGGTTCTCTCCTGGCTCTGGGAGGGGAGTGGGGGCTGGTGGTTAGAACAGAGGGGGCGGGGAGCCAGGACTCCTGGGTTCTTTCCTGGCTCTGGGAGGGGAGTGGGGGCTGTTGGGTTAGAGCGGTGGGGGCGGGGCAGGGCTGGGAGCCAGGACTCCTGGGTTCTTTCCTGGCTCTGGGAGGGGAGTGGGGGCTGTTGGGTTAGAGCGGGGGCTGGGAGCCAGGACACCTGGGTTCTCTCCTGGCTCTGGGAGGGGAGTGGGGGCTGTTGGGTTAGAGCGGGGGCTGGGAGCCAGGACACCTGGGTTCTCTCCTGGCTCTGGGAGGGGAGTGGGGGCTGTTGGGTTAGAGCGGGGGCGGGGCGGGGCTGGGAGCCAGGACTCCTGGGTTCTTTCCTGGCTCTGGGAGGGGAGTGGGGGCTGGTGGTTAGAGCAGAGGGGGGCCAGGAGCCAGGACTCCTGGGTTCTTTCCTGGCTCTGGGAGGGGAGTGGGGGCTGGTGGGTTAGAGTGGGGGGGATAGGAGCCAGGACTCCTGGGTTCTCTCCCCAGATCTGGGGGTGGGGGGAGGTCTAGTGATTAGAGCAGGGGTGGGGGTGGGGAACCAGGACTCCTGGGTTCTATTCTCAGCTCTGCCGTCGTCGATGTCCGATTGTTACTCCGGCCAGGGGGCCCCTTTCTCCCCAGTGCTAAGTGGGGACTGGGGAGGGACTGGCCCCCTGCTCCGGGTCTCACTTCCTCTTCTTTCCCCCGGCAGGGTAGCCAGGATGCAGCTGCCCCCGCCGACCCCATGACTCAGACGTACCCCGCCCCGTACCCCCCGGCCCCGGCCCGGCTGGCCCCGCCGTTCCGCCCGCCCGGTGCCCTGCAGGACTACCCGCCGCAGCCCCCCGCCGAGCACGGCCTGTGTCTCTACCCGGCTGGCCAGCCCCCCCCGGAGCACGCCGCCCCGCCGGAGCCCCTGGGGCCAGCCCTGCCTCCTCCCCCCGCGGTGAGTGCCCGGCCCCCTTCGCCCTCCCACCCCCTCCTTCTGCTGAGTGTCTCAGGCCCCACCCCCAGGTATCCGGGTCCCCTTCCCTGTGCCCACCTTCCCGCTCCCCCCAGAAACCCCTCCCCCGGGAATCCGGCCCTCTCCGGTGTCAAGTGGGCAGAGATGTTGGCATGGGGCCTTGGTAGCTGGAGGTGGCCTAAAGGCTCTGCCCCCCAGGGGGTGGGTCGGGGCATGGTTGGGGCTCACAGTGCTGTGGCTATTCTCTGCCCCCCAGGGCCCATAGGGGGAGGGTTGGGGGGGGGCACTATGCTGTGTCTGTTCTCTGCCCCCCAGTGTCACCCATCGGAGGCGTATTGGGGGCATGGCTGGAGGGCACCGGTGTCGACTCCGTAGCGGCAGAGGGGCTGGGCTTGCCCTGGCCCATGTGGGGCTGGGATCTGGGGCCACGGGGGACGGGAGGAATATGGCCTTGGGTCCCTTTCCAGCCCCCCCCCCCGGTACTGGTGCCCCCGCTCGGCCCACGCCAGCCTAGGGAAGGGGTTAATCTCTCCAGCCTGGGGTGATGGGGGCCCAGGGGTGTTTGGATCTTAACCCCCCACCCCCCCTCCTTGCCTGGACCCTCAGCTGCCCAGATCTGTGCGTTTGTGGGGGGAAAGGGGGGGCACGGGTAACCCAAACCCCGAGACCCCTTGGAGATAAAATGCGTTTACGCCACAGCCTTGGCTGACAGCCAGGTGCCCTCAGCCCCAGAGGCCTGAGGTTCGGTGTTACACATGCCCCCCGCCTCACCCAGTGCTGGGGGCTACGGTGACCCCCCTTCCCCCCCCCGGTCCTCCGGTCTCGGGGCAGCTAGGCGTCCTCTGGCCTGGGCTCCGGAGCTCTCTGCCCATATTGGGTCATGGACTCGCCTGCCCTGCCCGGATCGGATTCCCCCCCCCACACTGCCGGCAGCTGTTTATCTCCACATGGAACAAATGGTGCATTCCTGGCCCCCCCGACCCCCCCACGCCCAGCCACAAATGCACAAACAGCTCCGGGAAGGACGCGGTGTCCTCAGAACCCCAGTGGGAAACAGGGGCCACGCCCCCCCTTCCCTCGGGAACCCCAGTGAGACACTTCCCTGCCCTAGGGAGCCCCCCTCACTCCCCCCGAGAGTCTGCCCCCCTCTCGTCATCTGGGCTGCTCATCAATCCGGATCGTGCCCCTGCTGCTTGGGGTCCCCAGACAGACAGCACGGACATGGGGGTGGGGGAGAAGGTGGGTGGCTGCATGGATTGCCCTTGGACACCCCCTAATCCTGGGGCTGCTGATTGAGGGCTGGAGCCCTGAGGTGGGTGCTGAGAACCAGTGCCCCCCTTCCCTCACCCCCTTCACCCCGGGGCTTTTGCACTGATTGGGGATCTCTGGTGCCCCCCACCTGCCCCCTACACCCAGAATGGGGTGGCACAGAGCCCTCCACTCCCCCCTACTCAGCCCCCCCCGCAGATTTCAGATGCCTCTGTGCCATAGAAACAGTCCCCCACACCCCCACCCCGCTCTGCTCAGCAGCAACCGACCCTGCGGCCCCCCCCCACCAAACCAGGGGTGCAGCCCCTTTGCCAGATGAGAGCCTTCCAGCCCTGGGGTGAGAGCGACGCCGAGGGACCAGGGACGGTAAATGACGCAGCAGCCAGCAGCGCGGTACCGATCACGGGACCCCGGGAAGGGGCTGGGGGGCAGGAGAGCTGCGTACCGTAGATGGGGGTTGGACAGCTCCCCCAGGCTGGTGTGTGTGGAGCGGGATTCCAGGAGGTCCGGGCTGAGTCTGGAAGGAGCTTGGGGGCAGCAGATTGTGAAGGGACCTTTGTAGTTGTGGGGGGGGGAGGGGTCCCCCAGAGTCCTGGGTTTGTTGGAAGCTGTCACTTGGACACTCTCTGTTTGCAGCACCTTGTGGAGCCAGCAAGGGGGGGCCGTGCCCCCCCAAAGGCAGACGCTTTTCCCCCCTTGCCAGGCTGAGCTGGTCACTTTAGACCCGTGACATCAGCATTGCAGCCCCCCCCCACCCCGGTGCCCCCCAAAATCGTGAGATGAGCAAAACAGCCAACAGCGGGTTCTGTGCACTCGGCCTCAGGTCCCGTTTCCCACCTTTTCTCCTCAGCCAGGTGGGCGAGAAGCATCCAGGTTTCTGAGGGGTTTTTATATGGTCAATGCTTGTTGAGATCGGCTCATAATCACATGACTCTGAGACCTGGGGATTTAAGAGAATGGCCAAATAGCGGGAGAGTTTGCAACAATGTGCTCGAATCCTCTATGGACTCCCGACAGACTGGGTCTCGGGGATTCAGCGCCGACGTGGGGGGTGACTGGGCAGGGCATGTCTACACTATCAACTTCAGCCGGCCAAGGTTCCTGCCTCCCTCCTGGGAGCCTCCCTGCTGCTGGGAGTGGCTCTTTTCCCTCCTCTTCCTCCTCCCCGCCGAGCATGGAGCCTGGCCGGGGAGTGCAGGCAGTTATGGGGGCCGCGCGGACCCTCCACCTGCCCATGGTGCAGGGCAGCTGAGAGCAATCCCTGACCTGTGTCCCCGGCCCCCGGGCTCCCCGCCCGGCCCAGGACAGGTGGAGTTGGAGGGTCCATGCCGGCACCCTACAGCTCCCAGCCTGGCTCCTATCATCGCGGCCCCCTGCCCCCCACGGCCGGAGCCAGGTCAGGGAGAGCTGCGCGGGCAGCTGTGGGGAGTCTGGGTCCCTCCACCTGCCCTAGGCAGGGGTCCCGGGCGTCGGGACACAGGCAGGGGGCTGCTTTCTCCCCAACCCCACTCCGGCTTGGCTGGGGGCAGGGCCTCTGGGGCGGGGGTCAGGCGGGCCCAGGCCCTTGGGGGGAAAGGGGAGGGGTTTGGGGGGGCCTCAGGGTGCCCCCCACTTTTGGAAAGGCTCCAGGGCCCTTGCGTGGGACCAAGGCTGTAGTGTGCACCGTGATGTAACTGCTTAAGCTCTGCAGCCGAGCGTTCGCCTCCTGCCCGCCGGGAAATGGGTCCTCGAGGCCTGGCTTGCAATCAGAAAGATCTTTGCCCGTCGAGTGGCACCTGGAACCCCCCCGCCCCCCCCGTGAGACGCTGCGGCTATGCCCAGATAAAAGCAGGGCCCGGCTCTCATGGGGGGGTGTTGGGGCCTTTATCCACCTGGAAAGGCTGCAAAATTCACCCCGCCCCCGAGCCGCGCCCGCCAACCTTCCCAGCCCGGCGAGGAGGGAAGGCGGCGAACGCTCGCGTGGGATAAGATCCCCGGGGCGCCCGTGCGAGGCCTGGCGGGGGGCGGCGGCTTGTTCCTTCTCCGAGGGCCTCTCCTTCTGCGGCAGCCGGCGGATCTGACTCCTAGCGATGTGGCGAATGACTCTGTCTCTTCCCCCCCTCTCCGGCTAGGGTCCCCCCGGGGTGTTGGCAGCGGTTCTGGCAGATCTCCCGGCAAAAGCAGGTTTTTGTTCCAGGCATCTTGGAATTCGTCACGTTTCTCGGGCCTCGTAGCATTAATCCGTGATCCGCCTCGATCATCCCTACTCACCCCCGGCGCCGCACCTGCCTGCCTCAGTTTCTCTCTGCACCCCTCACCCCCCCGTCCCCCCTCCCGGCTGGATACCGTCCCTGGGCTTCGGTGGGGGCGATCTCGGTTGAACTTGTCTTTAAGAGTGGAGCGACTCCAGGGCTAGGTGACTGGTGCATGCAGAGCTGGGGGAGGGAAAGGGAGGGCTGGTGGGCGGGGGGGGGCATAGCTAGAGAGAGGGAAGCTGCCTGGGTCAACCCCCTTGCCCAGGGCAGAGCATCGGGTTTGGCTGCAGGGCATCTGACCGTTCATGTGGCGAGGGAAAGGGACGCTTCAAACAATCGTGCGCACACACAGGCCGGCATGAACATATTGCACATCCCCCGTGGGTGTATGTACATTGCACACCCCTGCACGCTGCACGGATGCTGTACACACCTGCGTGGTACGCGGACGCACCGACACTTCACATACAGTCAGGCCGTGCATGCACGCCCCTACTCCCATGCGTGTGAGCTGAGTGTGTACACCCACGCTTCACTCCTATGCACGGGGGTGTTTGCACTGCAGATACCCCTGCTGCGTGAGCATTGCACCCCCCAGACCTGCACATGCCCACTGTGTGCACACGTGTTCACCCCCACGCGCCCTCACCATGCGCATGCCCACATTTGCACGCAGCCCCATGCCTGGGCTGGTACATGGGCATGTGCGCATCCCCCCCATGTGCACGCCCACCCCCGTGTGCACGCACACCCATGCACACCCACGTGCACACACATCCCCCCCCCGCCCGCGTGAACGCAGGGAGAAGGTTAAAGACAAGTTCAACCCCGTCTCTCCAGCCAGGTTAATCAGTTTCACGCCTTCTGACCTGGCGGCTGTGCTCCGGGCGGTGGGCGACACCCTCCCGGCGGGCGGACGGACCCCGGATGCGGCATCTTGGCCCGTGCATTGGAGGATGTCTGAGATCTGAGGCCTTGGGCTGAGCTGAGCCGTCTGCATGGACAGAGGAGAGAGCGTCCGTCCCTGGGGGCGGGATTCCTTCAGCTCCTAGCGCAGTGAAAAAGCCGGTCCCGGCCCCCTCTCCCCCACTAAACCCCCCTGCTTCTCTTCACTAACTGCCTTGCTTGTGCCGGCGTGTGTGCTCCGGGTACTAACCCAACAGCCCGGGACCTCTGGGTGTGTTCATGCCTGCTCCCCGACGGCGGGGATCCGAGCTCAGCATCTTGCGCCCAGCAACGGGGCACACCTGGCTCTCGGCGTGGGCCCGTGGAGGCTGGGAGCCAGAGGCCCTGAATCTCCCTGGATCCCCTCTCCCCCTCGCCCCGGCTTGTACGCTGACGGGGCCGGAGACCCCCTGCTCCTGGGCCTGGGAATCAGGAGCCAGAGCTGCCGTCTCGGTCCCGGCCGGCGTCGATGCCGGGGGCCCAGGGGCCCGTCTCCACGGCTGGGGCAGTTCTTCAGGTCCTTGGATCCTGGTTCACACGCCACGCTGCAGGGGATGGAGGGCGTGGGGACGGCACTTGCAGCTCCCCCAGCAGGTTTCAGTGGCTCAGATCCGACTATCTGAAGGAACATGGGCGTGAAATACTGAACCTGCAGTGAAATGGTCAAGGCTGTTCCCTCCGCAGCTCCCCAGTGCAGAGGTGCTGCAGGACAAGGGTGGTCAGGGTGGGAGGGGAAAGGGGAATATCAGTGGGGAGAGGTGTAAAAGGGACTCCTGGGGTCCCAGGGTAGATAGCAGGAGATCCTGATGTGGTGGCAAAGGGAGGGAGCGGTCACAAAAATGAAATGCCTGTAAACTGCATGGAAACTTTTTAAAATCCCCCTGATAGAGGCTCCAAGTATATGAGTCCCCCAAATTTAAAGAAAAAGGTAAGAGGACCCCTCCCCCCAAAACAAACAAACCCTGTGCCCATAGCTAAATAACTGAGGTGTGATTAGACACGAGAGGACGTCTTTCAAAAACCAGAAGTCAAATTCTACTGAGGAAAATAGAAGCATCAACTCTGGCAAGTCAACCGTAAAGGTAAAATTAGGGAGGCCAAAAAAGAATTTGAAGAGCGGCTAACAAGACACAAAACTAGCAGCAAAAAAAATTTTTAAAGTACATCAGCAGCAGGAAGCCTGACAAATAATCAGTGGGGCCACTGGCCGATCGAGGTGCTAAGGGAGCCCTCAAGGAGGACAAGGCCGTTGTGGAGAAGCTAAATGAATTCTTTGCATCGGTCTTCACTGCAGAGGATGGGAGGGAGATTCCTACACCTGAGCCATGCTTTTTAGGTGACAGATCTGAGGAACGATCCCAGATTGAGGTGTTGGTAGAGGAGGTTCTGGAACAATTTGATACATTAAACAGCAATAAGTCACCAGGGCCAGATGGGATTCACCCAAGAGTTCAGAAGGAACTCAAATGTGAAATCACAGAACTGATAACTGCGGCAGGTAACCGATCGCTTAAATCAGCCTCTGGACCAGGTGCCTGGCGGAGGACTGATGTATCTCTGATTTTTAAAAAAGACTCCAGAGGCGATTCTGGCAATTACAGGCCGTTAAGCCTGACGTCAGTAGCAAGCTCTAGTAAAGAACAGAATGATCAGACACACAGATGAACATAATTTGTTGGGGAAGAGTCAACGCGTCTTTTGTCAAGAGAAATATAATCCCAACTCCACATCCAAAACGAGGGGATCTAAATTAGCTGCTGCCACTCAAGAAAGAGATCTTGGAGTCATTGGGGAGAGTTCTCTGAAAACACCCACTCCGTGTGCAGCAGCGTCAAAAAGGTGAACAACGTTAGAAACCACATGGAGATGGATAGATAAGAAGACAGAAAAGATCATAATGCCACCATATAAAGCCATGGTCCGCCCACACCTTGAATACTGCGTGTAGTTCTGGTTGCCTGATCTCGAAAAAGATATATTAGAATGGGAAAAAGTACAGAGAAGGGCCACAAAAATGACGAAGGGTATGGAACAGCTTCCAAACAAGGAGAGACTAAAAAGCCCGGGCCTGTTCAATATAGAAAAGAGATGTTTAAGGAGGGGATACGATAGAGATCTATAAAATCACAAAGGGCGTGGAGAAAGGAAGAAGGGAAGTGTTATAACTTCACTTGACATAACACAAGAACCAAGGGTCACTCAGTGTGATTAATAAGCAGCAGGTTTAAAATAAACCTAAGGAAATATTTCTTCACACAGCGCACAGTCAACCTGTGGAACTCCTCGCCAGGGGATGTTGTGAAGCTCAAAAGTAGAACTGGGTTAAACAAAAGGAGATAAATTCATGGGGGATAGATCCATCAATGGCTATGAGCCAAGATGGTCAGGGATGCAACCCCCATGCTCTGGGTATCCCTAAACCGCTGTTTGCCAGAAGCTGGGAATGGGCGACATGGGATGGATCACTTGATGATTCCCTGTTCTGTTCATTCCCTCTGGGGCACCTGGCACTGGCCACTGTCGATAGACGGGACACTGGGCTAGATGGACCTTTGGTCTGACCCAGTCTGGCCGTTCTGATGGGATCCCATTGTGGGGGTTAACGGGGAATTCCAGGGGAGGGGGGATATCAGGGAATCCTGGGGTGTGTGTGCATGTGTAATGGGATCCTGGGGCTCCAGTGGGGGTTAGCCGGGGATCCCAGCGTCTCTTTGCCCCAGCTCTGTCCGGTTTATCTCTTGGGGTTCCCTCCAGCCAGCTGAGGAGAGTCCCGCAGCCGCTCTCAGCCCAGATGGCCAGGAGGCAGAGAGCGAAGACGGCAAATCCCAGCCCAAGCGGCTGCATGTCTCCAACATCCCCTTCCGCTTCCGTGACCCCGACCTGCGGCAGATGTTTGGGGTGAGTTCCACGTGGGGGTGTAGAGCTCATGGTCCGGGGGTTGAGAGATGGGGTGTGTCTGTGAGCGAGCCCCGTGGTGATGAGGGGACAAGGTACCACCTGTGGCCCAGGTGGCCTCGGGGGGGGGGGGTTGTGTAGCACCCATGGTCCGTGTGTGTGTGTGTGTGACACCCAGGGCCCTTCTAGGGCCCCACAGTTGGTCAGGGCCCCACTGGGTTCTGGAGGGGTCGGTCACTGATTCCTGTCTTGTCCTCTCCGCCCGCCCGCCCCCCTTTTCAAGCAATTCGGGAAGATCCTAGACGTGGAAATCATCTTCAATGAACGTGGTTCTAAGGTGCGGAGGTGCCGGTGTGGGCGGGGGGGGTGGGAGGGGGAGGTCCCAGCAGGGGCTGGTGGTGGCGGGGGACGTTCCTGGCCTTGCTGAAAGGGGGGGGCAGCCGCTGGATTGTCCGGAAGCGGAGCCCACCCAGTGGGCAGCGCCCGCCCGCCGTGGCTCGGGGGCACGGTTGGGTTTCTGCAGCCAAGGCTTTGCCCCGGGCTGGCCGCGGTGCTGACCCCCGTGCGGGAGGACCCAGAAGGGCGCGAACCGGGACGTGGGGCAGGGAGGGACGCGGCGTGTGTGTGTCACTGGGCGGAGGAGGAGCTGTGTGGGGTGGGAACCCCTCGAGCCCGAGGGGGACAAAAGAGGGGGACGTGGCAGGGTTTAAAAGCCCCCAGCGGGGCCTGGCCAGGGCAGCCCCATGACCCCTTGTGTCCCCCCCCCGTAGGCCCCCCCCTCCCCAGCCAGCCGCGGCCTCATCCTTCCCCGGCCTCTCCCCGCCCTGCAGGGTTTCGGCTTTGTGACCTTCGACAGCAGCCAGGACGCCGACCAGGCGCGAGAGAAGCTGAACAGCACCGTTGTGGAGGGCAGGAAAATTGAGGTCAATGCCCCGTGGCGCGTTGGGGGGGGGGAACCCAGGTGGTTTCACTCGGGGGGGGCAGCTTTGCTCTGTGCCCGGCTGGTGCGGGGGGGTGTGTGTGTGGGGAGCTGGCACAGGGAGTTTGCTCGGGGGCCTGTATTATGGGCGGGACCCCCTGCGCGCAGGGCAGGGGTGGGGTCCGGTGTCTTGGCTCTGAGCCCCAGGGCGGTGTGGGGGGGGGCAGGCTGTGCCGTGACCCCAGACTCGCTCACCTCTCCCTCCCTCCCCCCGGCAGGTGAACAACGCCACGGCCCGTGTGGTCACCAAGAAGCCTCCGGCAGCGCCTGCGGTGAACGGTACAAGGGGGCGGGGGCGGGAGGTGAGGTGTGGCTCCCCCCCCCCCCCCCGGCAGGGCCCCCCCCGCCCCCCAGCCTGGCTCAGCCACGCTGCAGGCCCCTCCTGCTGCTGGCCCCCGTCCCACGGCGGCCCCTGTCTCTGACGTGCCCCAGGCAGGGTCTGTGGGGAGGGGCCGGTGCCCTGGGCCGACCTGGGGGGTGGGGGGGGGGCAGGGAGGGAAGGGGGGCTGGGGCCCCTCCGTCCGCTCTGATGCTCCCCCTTCTCTCTGTCTCCCTCTGCGGCTAGGTTGGAAGATCAACCCCTTGGTTGGCGCTGTCTATGCCCCCGACCTCTACACAGGTGGGACTTCTCCTCTCTCCCTCCTGCCCTTGTGTCTCCCCAGCCTGCCCCCCCCGGCCGGCATCTCCATCCTCCTGGCCCGTCCTGCCCCACGAGGATTTTCTCTGTTCCTGCCCCCACTACGTCCCCTGTCACCTGCTTCGCCATGATGCCCCCCATCACGGGCGGCGGGTGAACCCCCCCCTTTCAGGGAGGCTAGCCCCTCCCCTTTCAGCCTGAGGCCCTGCCCCTACATCTCCCCCCGGAGCCCTGAGCCCCCTCCACCCCCCACCATGGCCGGTGGCGGGCCCGAGCCCCCACCAGTTTTGGGGGAGGGGGGAGCGAGGCTGCGGCTCAGGGCAGAGCGTGGGTGGGGCCCCCCACCCCTCCCCTGGCCGATTATACCCACTGCCCGTGCCTGCCCCTCCCTGTCCCTTTCCCATCCCCCAGTCGCCCCCTATATCCCCCCTGCCCCCACTCACACCCTGCGGTGCTGACCATCTGCTCTGTCCCCAGTGGCCACCATCCCCTACCCGATGGTGGCCCCGGCGGCGCTGGCCTATCGTGGGGGCCTGCGGGGCCGTGGCCGAGCCATTTACAGCCCTATCCGGGCAGCTCCCGCCCCGTCGCCCGTCCCTGCCTACGGGAGGTGAGCCAGCGGGGCCGTGGGGGGTGCCGGCGGGAATGGATGTTTGTGGGGGGCGTGGGGGTTGATCCTGGTGGTCGGGAGGGCGGAGGGGGCATAGGAATAAAATTTTGGAGGGGAACTTTCTGTGCCCCCCGCGGCCGGAGGAGCTGGAGCTGGGGCGGGGACGTAGGGGAGTGTAGTCAGTGCTGGTGGGGGGCTTACGGCCGGAGCTGATGCATCTCCTTTCCCCACAGTGTGGTGTACCCGGATGGGCTATACGGCACCGACGTCTATGTAAGTCCCTGGCGCGCTGGTGGGCGTGTTTGTGTGTGTGTGTGGCGGGGGGCGGGGGGGTTATACCCGGACTGTACCAGTGCGGGGCACGTCTCCCCCCCCTCCCCCCAGGTCCCCTGTCTCTCTGGGCTGCTGCGGGGTCATCCCGGGCTCCTGAATCCCTGCCCCACACTCCGGGGAGGGGTGTGTGTGTGTGTGGGGGGGGTTATACCCGGACTGTACCAGTGCTGGGGCACGTCTCCCTCCCTCCCCCCCCCACGGGTCCCCTGTCTCTCTGGGCTGCTGCGGGGTCATCCCGGGCTCCTGAATCCCTGCCCCACACTCCGGGGAGGGGTGTGTGTGTGTGTGTGTGAGGGGGGGCGGCTCAGATTGTGCCAGCGTATGGGGCTGGGGTTTGGGAATCCGCAGTGGCCAGGGCTCCGTCTGTCTCAACCTCAGAGGGAGGAAAAGGGGAGGGGTTACAGCCTGAGACTGGACACCCCCTCCCCCGCACACACCCCCTTAGTGCCCTCAGTGCCCCTTTCCTCCCTGGGGTGCGCACGGAGACTCCTGCTCCCCGGGAATGAGCTGGCGGACGGAGCCCTGGTCCTTCGTTGTGGAACAGGAGCGATTAGGGAAGCTGCCCCCCACCCCCGCCATGCTCTGCCCTTGGAGGCTGTCACGGGTGGGGGTGCAGGACCCAGGGGCTCAGGACCCAGGGCTCACCCCCCTTCTCGGCTGTTTCAGGGCTATGCAGCGTACCGGGTGGCACAACCCCCCGGGGCGGCCGCAGCGGCGTACACCGACGGGTAAGTGTCGGGGCGAGGGGAATACCAGCCAAGGGCGCCGTAGAAGCGGGGGCCCCCCCGCCCCCCCGAGGCCAGCGCGCCCCCTCCCCGTCCCCCGTCCGGCCGTGCGCCGGCTGCCCTCTCTTCTGGCGCCCGCAGCAGCCCCTGGTGGGCGAAAGGTGTAACTGCAGCGCCTCCCCCCGGGAGAGTCAATTGTTCTGCAGGGGGAGAAAGTAATCGGGAGGGGACATGAATGCTGCCCTTATGTTCCTTTTTTTAAAAGTGCGGGGCCCGTTTTTCGGAGTGGGAGGGGCTGATTCCCCGCCGGTTCGGGCACTGGTGTGACCAGCTCCTCCTCGCGTAGCTGGCTGTGTGGGCGTGGGCACCCGCGCGTGCTCACTCCCGAACACCGGCCTCTGCTCGGTTCCCCCAGGTACGGCCGGGTCTACACCGCGGCGGATCCTTACCACCACGCCGTCGCTCCAGCCTACGGCGTCGGAGCCATGGTGAGCAGCAGCCGGCGGGACTCCCCGGCCCGCGTCGGGACTGCCCCCCAGCCCCGTTCCTCTCCCTGTCTCACCCCACGTCAGGCTGGCACGTTCCGACGCCCTCGCCCCCTCCCTGCCTCACGGGTGGCCCTGCTCCTCCCTGGCAGAGGGTCTCCCTGAACGCGGCCCCCAGCCGACAGACTGGTCCTATCCAGGATGGGGGCTCTGCTCACGGGCTGAGGCGGTTGCCTGGACAGATCCGCTCATGCCCTTAAGCCCAGCCTGGCAGCCTCCCCCACCCTGTCCAGAACACCAGTCCCATCTGGGAGACCGCTCCCCCCAGACCCTGCCAGGCAGCCCGCCCCCAGACACGCACTCCGCCCTGCCTGTGCGCCCTCCCTCTCTCACCCCACCCATGCCCGCTTTGTGCCCCCTTATGCCCCACCCCACCGAACAGCTGATGCTAATGGACCCTTCTCTGCCTCGGCAGGCCAGCCTGTACCGCGGAGGGTACAACCGCTTCACGCCGTACTGAGGAACCAGGGGCTGCGAAGGCCGGCGGCCGTGACGGGAAGGGGCCTGGGCAGTGGGCTCTGAGATCTCGGTGTGGATAGGGACAGGCCGGGGGGGCACTTTACATCAAGTCCCCTGCTCCCAACACAGAGTGTCCCAGACGGGTCGGGACACCCAGTCCAGCCCTAGCACCCCAGACCCGTTACGCAGAATCCCCCTGTGGAACTCCACCTGGCCCCAGCATCTGTTACCCAGATCCTGCCTGGCCCTAGTCCCCTGGCCATAGAGACAATGGGGTTGGTACATGCAGAGAGGGGAACACCGCTGCCCACCAGGGAGTGGAGATGAGGGTGAATTTGGCCAGTGTTTAATATCCGACGCCTGCATCACACCCGGGGCCGTAAGGGGGTTACCGAGTGGGGCTTGGTCTTTTCGATCAGTGGTCCTCAACCCTCCCTGCTGACCGTAACCCCGTTCAGGCGTCCGATTTGTCTTGCCTACCCCCGTGTTTCACCCCTCTTAAAAACGACGTCAACCTGCTGAATGTGCTCGCCCCAGGGTTTACACTCAGCTGCTGCTCTGGTCAATATTTCCAACCCCTCTGGGGTTTTTAGAGCATGTTGGGGCATGGGAGGGACATACTCTCTGAGACTTTTAGCCCTGGCTTGCACACGTGAGTAAATGTCTAATACAGTGTGAATCCCCGCAGTACGTTACCGTAGAATACAGGCTAGAGAGCAGCATAAGCCAGGCCTCGTCTGTATGAAATGTTAACGACTTGGCTGGTGCTTTTTATGTCACCTGCTGTAAAACTGGACAACTAGCTAGCTGAGTGGACGTACCCCCCAGAAGACCTCAGTATCCCCCCCCCAGTTGAGAACCACTGCCGTAGAGGCTGGTGAAAAAAGAAAAGCCAGGGAAATTCTAAACCTGGGGCTCAGAGGCTCCTGGACTTTAAGGTCAGAAGGGACCATGGTGATTGTCTAGTCTGACCTCCTGCACAATGCAGGCCACAGAATCTCACCCACCCACTCCTGTAACAAACCCCTGACCTGTGTCAGAGCTACTGAAGTCCTCAAATCGTGGTTTAAAGACTTCAAGGTGCAGAGAATCCTCCAGCAAGTGACCCCATGCCCCACACTGCAGAGGAAGGCGAAAAAACCCCAGGGCCTCTGCCCATCTGCCCTGGAGGAAAATTCCTTCCCCACCCCAAATATGACGATCAGCTAAACCCTGAGCATAGGGGCAAGACTCACCAGGAAGGAATTCTCTGTAGTAACTCAGATCCCACCCCATCTAACATCCCATCACAGGCCATCAGGGCCCAGGATTGTGGCCAGAGGCCTCAGCTAAGCAGGGAAGAGGGGACTGAATCTCCAGCATCTGGCCCCTGGGACCTGATGTTGACTGAATTCCTTTTCCAGCTAGTGCCCAGCTCTCCCCGCTGTTCACCCCCTACCCCGTCTCTCTCCATTTCTCTGCAGCCTTCTCCCCACCCGCATTGCTCCTGTCTCCCGCATGCATCCTGCGCTCTTTCGGCTCCGCACTGGTGCTGGGGGGGGGGGGGGGTCTTTGTGCTCAGCAAAGAACTAGGTAGGGGGGCCTGTCTGATGTGGTGTCCCTGGCTGGGGGTCGCATTGACAGCAGGTTGAGTGCTGAGGTGTTTGAACCGTGGCGGATTTCAGGGTCTTCTCCCAGCCTCGCGCCCCAGCTCAGTCTCTCAGGGAAAGCTCGTGACTGCCAAAGTCTTTCTCCTTTCCCCGTTTTCTCGTGTTGTAATAAAGCTCTGATCTCAGTTCTTCTCTCTGTCCTTTCACACTCTGTCTCTCTCGAGCTGTGTTTCTGTCTCTCGCCTCTCCCTGCTCTGTCCCTTCCTCCCGCGGCTGGTTCCTGGCAGGAGTCCCGGCCCCTCGGCACAGGGCATTACAGCGAGGTCAACCCCCTAGCGGCTTCACCCAGGCCTGTCTTGGTGTCTGCAGGCGGGCGCAGCCCCCACTGCCCTGTGCCACCTGGGAGCAGGACCCAGCTCGTGGCAGGATGGGGCGGGTGAGATGTCGGGTCCCCCCCCACAAGCTGTCCCAGTCGTATGGAGCAGGAAAGCCACACGGGCAACCGGGATAGACCTGTCCTCAGTGTAGGGCTCCTGGCTGCATCGCTCCCCGTCAGTGCCCCATCCCGGCTGGGTTTGCCCCCCAGCCCCATGGCCCTCAGGTGCCCGCCACCGTGAGGTTGCCTCTGTGGGCCCAGAGGCTCAGACCCTGGGGAAGTGAGAGCATGGAGGGCTTTACTCCCTGCTGCCCCCGTGGGGTCACTGATAGCAGTCCCGTCCCCCCACCCTGCATTCAGGGTGTGGCCTTTCTCATCCTGCCCCCCCAGCACTTCCTGCTTTGTGGGTTGTTTCACAGTGGGCCAGGCCTGCTGGGGGGCTGTATGTGTGTGTGTGTGACAAACCCTAGGGCAAAGGCAAGGGGGGGGGCAATGCAGGGACCCCTCTGTCTGCGCCGACGTGGCTCGGGATCTTTCTCCCCTTTGCTCGCCCGGCTGCTTACGCTAGCTCTCCCTCGCTTTAGCTCCAGCCCGCTCGCCCCCGCCTTGCTCGCCTGCGATGGTGCGTGTCTTTCGCTCGCCCAGCGGCAGGCGTTCGCGTCCGCTCCTTCGCTGACTGAGCCCTGCTCTCTCCGGGCGTCTCCTCCCAGCGCTGGCCATGCACTCACCCTCCGGCACGCGCCTCTCCGCTCCAGTCCCTCTCCCGTGCCTGCTCGCCCGCACGCTTGCCCCGACGCACCCTTTTTGCTCGTCCAGCCCGTCTCCTGCTCTCTGTGCCCTCACCCATCCCTGCCTTTGCTCACCCTGCCGGTCTGGCTCGTTTCTGGCCACACAGCGCTGGCTACACCGGCATTTAAATCAGCCTGTTAGATCACTTGGGGTGATGTAGCCCGGCCTTGGTCTTGCTTGCTCTCCCCTTCGCTTGCCAGGCTGCTCAGATGCGCTCACTCGTTTGCTCGTCCTGCCACGTTCTCTCTCTTGCCCCTGCTCCACTTTTACTGACCCCTGGCCTCACCCCTTTCGCTCACGCCTTTGCCGGCCTGGTGTTTCGCTCTCTGTCTTCGGTGCTGCTGTTTGCTTGCCCGGCAGCCCGTTCTTGTTCGCTCTCGCATGCTGGCCCCTTTGCGCACCCAGCGATGCACTCACTTGCTCGCCTCTGCTTGCTGTGCTCTCTTCCCCTGCTTGCCGCTCGCTCTCCTCCGCTTGCTCTTTACTTGCCTCGCCGTTGGCTGGCTCTTTCTCTGTCTCTGCTCCGGTTTGCTCCCCCCGCTGCTCTGTCTTTCTCTCTTGCTCTACTGTTGCGCCCTATCTTGCTGGCCCCTTTGCTTACCTGCCCCCTGCATGCTCGCTCGCTCGGTTTCTCCTGTTGTGCTCTTCCTCTTTTGCTCGCTTGCTCTTGCTCGGCCCTTTTGCTCGTCCCGCCTTGCTGTGCTCGCTTTCTCTCTCTCTGTCTCGCTCCTGGCTCCCTTTGAAAGTGGGAGGGTTGTTCCCCCTGGCTTCTTCACAAAAACATAAGCGCAGAATTCACGTCCCCCGCGGACTTTCCTTTCCCTGCCCCGTAGAATAATCCATTCTGCCGGGGAGGCGCTGCAGGGCACCTTTCGCTCACCAGGGGCTGGAGCAGCAGCTGCGGCGAGGGAGGGGGCACATTGGCCTTGTCGCGCCTCCCCGGCAGAATCGATTATTCTACGGGGCGGGGAAAAGAAAATCTGCGGGGGACATGAATTCTGTGCTGCTGTTTCTTTTTTCTCTCCTCACTAGGCCCCCTGTCTTTCGCTTGCTTGCGCCTCTTTGCACTCTGTCTTGCTCGCTTCGTCTCACCCCTTTTGCCCAGCGGACAGAGTCAGGGCCCATTTTCAGGAGCTGCGCGAAGCCGACGGCGGGAGAGAGCTCTTAATTAATCCGCCCCCGATGAGCGGTGGTAGCTGGGTCAGTGGGAGAAGCTTGGGGAGGTCCACACCGGCGCTTGGGTCGGTGTAACTTACGGCATTCGGGGTGTGTAGCTTTTCCGCATCCCTGAGCGACTTGTTACACCCACCTAAGCTGGAGTGTAGACAGCCGCACTGGGTCCCCCAGCTGGCTGGTCAGGGGCGTTCTGGGTAAGGGCTGCTATTTGGGGAGAGGGGGGCTGGTCCAGGGGTGTGGTATTAGTATTTAGGGACTGGGGCTGCTTATTTCACCTCCTCCCTTGTTCCCTGATTTTCTACATTCAGCAGCTTGTTCTAGGAGCGTCTCTGCATCTCATCTTCCTGCTTGGCAGCTCGTTTTCTCCCTCCCTCGCTCTCGGTCCCTGATACATCACCCTGCTCCATGACTGTTCCCCATGTCAACCCTGTCTCTAGTGTGTGTGTGTGGGTGGAAGGGGGCGGGGGGCGGTTTGCAAGCCTGTTCCCTTCTGCAGTAGTCGCATCAGGAGCCCTGGGCTGCCAGCTGCGGCCAGATTCTTAGCACCGTGTACATTAGAGAGGGCCTGTGCAAAGCTGGGGGACAGTGAGCTTTAAATGTGGGTGGCAGCCGGTGTCCCAGTGCAGCCGGCAGGTTGCCTAAGGGGTCCGGTGGTAGCAGAGGATTCGCCCGATAGTGCTGCAGGGGGGCCGTATGAAGACAGGGCCAGGCTCGGCCCTAGAGACGGGCAAACCTGAGTCTGTGAACTGGTCCCATTCTTCCGAAAGGACAGTTCCTCACGCAGGCGTTGCCGCTGATCAAACTCCCACGGTTCCTTTCTGGCTGCTTCAACATGCTGCCAATGACAAAAACAATGCATTTCAGACAGTGCTTTGTTTTTCCCCCCTCTGTGTCTTTGCAACCCCCCCCCAGCCAGCTGCCTGTAGGTACTTGTGGAAAATGACCCTCTGCTGGGGTCTTGAGTATTTGATAGAAATCCGTATTGTACTGTATTGAAAGGCACAGTGATGGGCAGGTGCTCTGTTAAACGCTCCTTGATGTCTGGTGACATGATTTGGTCCCAAGGAGGGAACCTGTTTCTGGCTCCCGATTTCTCCTCATGCTGCACTTGGTTTTTCATCCCTCCCGCGCGCGCCCCCCCCAATAAAGTTTTCTGTTTCACTGGGAAGTGGTGGGTCATGTTTTTAATCAGGCCAGGCCAGCTTCAAGTTTAATGTGGATTTGAATCATGAACACGCTAACAACCCTACAGGTCAACGGGCACTTTTGATGCTGTCATGTATCAGCCATTGGCAGCCCCCTCCCGTCCAACCCCAGGACTCACCTAGGCAGGCCTTAGGAGTTCTGGGCTCCTGGCCCCCGAGTTCTACTGAGAATTTGGGTGCCCAGTTTTAGGGACAGAGGCAACAAGGGGGTGCCAGAATGGTGCTTATTCTGTGCAAACCTCACCCTTGGGAGCCTGTACTGCCAGGGGCTCACCAGGGGACCCAGCCCTTCTCCACTGTGCTATGCTTCCAAGTGTCTCAGACTCCCCTCCATTGCACCAGGCCATTCAGCCACCTTCCTGGGCCCCCAGGGACACGGGAGCTCCCCCCAGTGCCTGGTGGAGGAACCAGGGGAGCAAGGGGGTGGAGCAGAGCATGGCAGCCACCCCCAGCAGCTCAGGTGGGAGTTTGGAAAGCCAAGGGATCTCTGGGTGCAGCTAAAGCTCCTGGGTGCTGAAGCAAAACAACACCTCACCAGCCGCTTTAAGAAGTTTCATAGCGGCACAAATGTAACCAGAGGCAGAGTCTGAATTTCCTGGGTCTGGCCAGAACTGACCCACGGAGTGTGCAGGAAGCTAGGTGCAGCTGCAGGATCAGTGGCTGGACCAGGTCCCAGAGGGGACAGATTCCCGCTGCACGGATGTGCCAACAGGGTAGCATATCCCAGTCAGCAGAATGTGGATCTCTGGGTAACATACGGGACTAATGTTTTGTAGGAGCAGAGTGAACTACTGTAGAGAACTGTGAATGGTAAATGATAACAGGCGCAAAAGCAGACCGCAAGAGACTGCTAGCAAAGTAGCAATGAAGCATTAATTGTGCAGTGGGTTTGTAGCATTTAAAAGACCAATTTAGCCAGAAAACGCTCAAAACGTAAAGCCAGCCAAGCCTGTAATTTACACACAGACCCCACAACCCTGCCCCTGCCCAGTCTGAGCAAACCCAGCTCTTTCCGTGCACCGGTGGGTGGCCCTTAAAAGGACCTTAGAAAATGAGTTTTTGGAGTCAAGAGCCGACTCAGCCTCCGAAGCCGTACAGGGTGCGCCCCTGGCGTTTCAGGGCGTACACCACATCCATGGCGGTCACCGTCTTCCGCTTGGCGTGCTCCGTGTAAGTCACCGCGTCGCGGATCACGTTCTCCAAGAAAACCTTCAGCACCCCGCGGGTCTCCTCGTAGATCAGCCCCGAGATGCGCTTCACCCCGCCGCGGCGAGCCAAGCGGCGGATCGCAGGCTTCGTAATGCCCTGGATGTTATCCCGCAGCACTTTGCGATGTCTCTTAGCACCACCTTTCCCCAGCCCCTTGCCACCCTTTCCGCGCCCAGACATCTCGCAAACACACAGCTAATAACCCCACCGCTGTACAGAAAAATTGGCAGCCTGCAGGGGTTTATATAGCACAGAGTCCGACCTGAGTGAGAACCGCAGTCACCCCTTGCGTCTCCCTCCCCTCGCCCTGACAGAAGGACGCTTCCGGCTCTCACCAATGAGAGACGGCGGCCTTCGCCTCTGAGCCAATCAGAACACCGCGGGTAATTTTAAATTCAAAAAGGGGAGTTTGGCGCTCGAGTGTGGCACAGTGAGAAGCGGCAAACACGGTTGGGAGGCAAAGCCCCTTCAAGGCCCCCCCCCCCCAAAAGCTGTAGGGGACGGAGAGGTTTATTTCTCACTGCCCAGCACCCAAAGCCGGTGAGCCACCATCCCTGCACCCCCCGCACGTCAGTGGCTGTGGAGACCCCCCGCTTTTGAATATTTACCCGTTGCACACTTGGAAATAAAAACCAATTTAATTTCCTTCCCCGGAGAGGCTCGTGCAGGTCAGCTCCCCGGGGCCCCAGCTCACAGTTGGACTAAACAGTGCACAAATCGCTCCCCGATTTCTCTCCCTCGCCCCTTTTTTTCTCCGTGCGCCTCCCGAGGAGGGCGGTGATCGATTTCCTGCTTTCAAACGCTTTGTTATTGGTGCATTAGAAACCGGGCATTTTACTGGTGCTTTGTCCCTCGTCCTGGGGCGACTCCAGACTCGGGGGTTTTGCGGGAATCAAAGGTGGAAATTCAGGCTCCCGCCTTGAGAGGCTTTTACACAGTGTTGCCAGCTCTCATGAGTCTTTTGTCATGAGTCTGGTTATTATTTTCAGAGTAGCAGCCGTGTTAGTCTGTATTCGCAAAAAGAAAAGGACTTGTGGCACCTTAGAGACCAACCAATTTATTTGAGCATGAGCTTTCGTGAGCTACAGCTCACTTCATCAGATGTATACCGTGGAAAGTGTAGAAGCTTATGCTCAGATAAATTGGTTAGTCTCTAAAGTGCCAAAAGTACTCCTTTTCTTTTTGGTTATTATTGTTTTCCTTAAAGCCCCCCCCAAGTTCCTGGCAGCCCAGCCCAGCCCAGCCATCAAGGGGACAATGGGATGATTTCAGCCTTCATTCTTAAAGAAAAAATAAGTTTGTAGCTTTTGTGGAGGAATATAAGAAGGGCCAGACTGGCTCAGACCAAATGTCCTTCTAGCCTAGTGTCCTGTCTTCCCACAGTGGCCAATAGCAGGTGCCCCAGAGGGAATGAACAGAACAGGGAATCGTCAAGTGATCCATCCCCTGCCGCCCGTTCCCAGCTTCTGGCAAACAGAGGCTCGGGCCCCCATCCCTGCCCCTCCTGGCTAATAGCCATTGACTACCCTAGGAAGCCTCAAAATGTGACGCGCCCCCCCCTCCCCTGCACCCGCAAGGCTCAAAAAGCTGAAGACAAACAAACATTCTCTTATTTTTACATGATTTTAAAGCCCATCCCGTGCTCTGAGATGACTCCGGCTTTTTGAACAGTTGGGGCTGGTCAGACTGAGGTCACAAAGATTGGCCTTCTCTCTGATATTTCTCTCCGTTGCCACATAGGCGCAAACGGGAGATTTCCCTCCCTCCCCCGGTCCAGTTTTGGCGCCGTTTTTGTACGAAAGGCAAACCAGCTGCTCCCCTTCCAGGCTCCGGGTTCCCCGAGCCCTTAAATCCGGCTTTAGAAAGGCAAATTTAATGGAGATTAACAACCATCTGGGAAATAAACCATCTGAGGAGACAGGAAAATGAACAGCCCTTCCCCGTCCAGGGGAAGCAGAGAGAAGTTGGTTTAGGATAGAATTCATTCAGCCTACCCCGGAAAGTCTGGTATTAAAACGAAAAAACGGGTTTATTTGGTCTATGAACGACCATCCATAGAACATACTGGGTTTCAGGCATGAAAGGAATAAAGATAGCTCTTCCACAGCTGTGTAAAATGTGAAGACTTCTCCCTCTGTGTCCTTTCCGTGCTCATTCACCCTCGCTTGCTTAGCAAGAAACGTGTGTCGGCCAGGATTGAGGGTTTTGCAGTTCCTGTTCAGAGTTTGCTTGTACTACAAGCTACATGTATTTAACCAATGTATATTCTAAGTAGCTAAGAAAAAAATACTTTGTATATTCACAGCATTAAAAGGCCCTTATTAGCTAGGTTTACCCCGGATCCCATTACACGATGCGCTTTACTAGGTGTTAAGCTCAAGGAAAATAATTAACATCTACCTTACATAGTCAAGGCGTGTTTTAAGGGATTGTGCGTTTAGCTATTTTCTGCTAATGAAACAGTGATTGAAGCTCTCAATGAAAAAGTGGGTGGCTCTTAAAAGAGCCTTTGGGTTTTAGGTGTCACAGACTTCCCGGAGGGAGCACAGCCCCTGCTTACTTGGAGCTGGTGTACTTGGTCACAGCCTTGGTGCCCTCAGACACGGCGTGTTTGGCCAGCTCCCCGGGCAGCAGCAGGCGCACGGCGGTCTGGATCTCCCGGGAGGTGATGGTGGAGCGCTTGTTATAATGCGCCAGGCGGGACGCCTCCCCAGCAATGCGCTCGAAGATGTCGTTGACGAAGGAATTCATGATGCCCATGGCCTTGGAGGAGATGCCGGTGTCGGGGTGAACCTGCTTCAGCACCTTGTAGACATAGATGGAGTAACTCTCCTTCCGGGTCTTGCGGCGCTTCTTGTCCCCTTTCTTCTGGGTCTTGGTCACCGCTTTCTTGGAGCCCTTCTTGGGCGCGGGAGCGGACTTCGCTGGTTCAGGCATCCTGAGGACTGCAAGGAACGTACAGAAAAAAACAATACTACACGCAGCCCCCGTGGCCCTTTCTTTATAGCGCCCCTATGTAAATAAGGTAGCCTAATTTTTGCTTTCCTATTGGCTGATAGGAAGTAAGACGTCAACCCTGCGGCATACCCAGCCGCAAAGAACGCGGACTCTAATCCTTGCACTTCTTATTGGATAGCCACAGCATCTTCTCTTCCCATTGGCTAGGTGGAGAAGTCGCTTTTTCATTGGGTGATACAGGCAGAGCCAATCAGATGTCGCGCGGCTCATCTGCCCGAGGCTATAAAAGGCAGGGCCCGCATAATTTCAAGGGTTTGATGGTTTAGTAGCGTTTAGGGGCTAAGTGTAGCGTCGTGATGTCTGGCCGTGGAAAGCAGGGAGGCAAAGCTCGGGCGAAGGCCAAGTCGCGCTCGTCTCGTGCGGGGCTGCAGTTTCCTGTGGGCCGCGTGCATCGGCTCTTGCGCAAGGGGAACTATGCGGAGCGAGTGGGTGCCGGCGCCCCCGTTTACATGGCCGCGGTGTTGGAGTATCTGACTGCTGAAATTTTGGAGCTGGCTGGCAACGCGGCCCGGGACAACAAGAAAACCCGCATCATCCCCCGCCACTTGCAGCTGGCTATCCGCAACGACGAGGAGCTGAACAAGCTGCTGGGCAAAGTCACCATCGCCCAGGGCGGGGTCCTGCCCAACATCCAGGCGGTGCTGCTGCCCAAGAAAACCGAGAGCCACAAAGCAAAGGGCAAGTGAGAAGGCTGTTAGTATTCGAATTAACTGAACCCAAAGGCTCTTTTAAGAGCCACCCACGAGTTCAAAAAGAGCTGATAATCTTGGAAAATGATAGGGGAGATGAAAAAGCGTAAGAAGTGTAAGTATTAGTCTGTGAGCAGGCATGCAACGGATTGCAGGTAGTTTGCTATGCTTCTGGAGTGTTACCAGAGAGCTGAGGTTTGGTGTCAAACTTTTTTTTTCTATTAAAAGACCAATCTCATTTCTAAGGGGTTTGGAGTGAAATGCATTAGGACCCATGCATCAGCTAAAATGGAGAATAGTCTGTACTTGATTTTTGCAGTGAAGTTACTGCCTTATTCTTCCTTATGTCAGATATTTAAGGAAAAATAAGAATAAAGTGGTTTGGATGAAATGATGGTTCTGTTCTATATTTTGGGATGTGAGTGCAGATGCAAGGATTAATCCCTGTTTCTGCTTTTGTGCAAGTGCATCTTTCACAGACTCTGTTCTGGCTCAGAGCAGGATGGAGATGAATAACAGCTCTACGCTGAGGGGGAGAGGGAGGATGTTGATTTGCAAAATCTACCCTGGTTTTCCTGCTTTCATACAGCAGCCACAAAATAAATGGTTCAGTTTATAATTTTATTCACAAACCGAGACCATGCTACTATGCCCATATGTGAAATAAATTGGGTGTGTCTCATTGCAATGAGTCTCTCCAGATTAAAATCTAAACCTGGAAATTGACATCAAGAATGACTATATTGCTTCAGACTAATGGTCTGTCTAGCCCAGTATCCTGTCTTCCAATAGTAGCTGGTGACTAGCATTTCCAAGGGAATCAACAGAACATACAATTGATCCATCCTTTGTCCACTCCCAGTCTTGGGTAGTCAGAGGGTTAGGGATACTCAGGGTTGCATCCCTGACCCTCTTGGCTAATAGCCATTGGACGGACTTATCCTCCATGAATTTATCTAATTTTCTGAGCCCTGTTCTAGTTTTGTTTGTTTATATGGAGAAAAAATAGAGGAGGGGAAGAGCCCCTCTCTTCTCGGTCACACTGAAATGCTTTATAGAAATGTTGCACCATAATGAAGTACGCCCCAGCCCCAGCATGGGGTTTGGGGAGCATGCCCCCTTTCCACTGTTCCATTTTCCCCTATATCAGAGCCTTCCAATCTCCCTTCTTTGGCACAAGTTCTGTGTGTCCCCATTCCTCCTTCCCCCAGCAGGAGCCCTGAGTGAATGCCTGTTACCTCCTTCCTTCTCATGTGAGGGCTTCTGTGTGCCACATTTCCTCCTGTCCCACTACAAGGGTCCTCCATTCTCTCCTCCCAGGCCAGGGGCTGTGCATTCTCCCCATGCCTCCCTGCCCCCACACACTATTCTTGTTGTGTGGGAGAAGTCATTTGGCATAGCCGTATCAACATGTTAATTAAGAGGTGTCATGGACCCTCAGGTCGTGCCCACTCTTGCCTCTGTGCAGTCCCTGGGGGAACCCCCTTCAGTGCGACAGCCCTTCTTGGGGGTTAAGCCCCTCCGGCTCCTGGAACCGCACCTCTCTGAGCCTTAGCACGCCTGGCTCTCGCCATGGGTCCCGTCAAGGAATCCACTTGCTCTGGACCCCCAGGGCCTCCACTCCTAGAGGGAATAATGCAACCCTGTTTTCTGGACGGAGCAACTCTCAGCCACTGTAAAACAGGAGGCTTTATGGAGGAAAAGCAGGAATAAGACGGGGTGTGTGTGTGTGTATGGTTATACTGGAAGGGGGTTAATGAACACTATCAACCAGTTGTTTAATCTACCTACAATTGCAGAAATTCTTGAAGCTTGGCCTGTGCTAAAGAATTGGTAGGAGCTTAAGGTTTCCCTGTTTTGACTTTCTGGTTTCTTCCCCCCCACCCCCAAATTATTCTAATCACTGATGCCTGGAGTATTTCTATTTCCTGAATGTTTGGAATTGATTGGATGCAGGATTCCAACTGTATTACGTTACAGACAGACAACTGCCTTCGAGTTGCGTGTAAGGCCTTCATCAGCTCAGCCCATAATCCTGTTCTATTTACTGTGGAATGAGCCTCTGCCTCTTCCTGGGCACAGAGCCCCTACCACACAGCGGGAACCCACATGTCACCTTATTAAATTCTAGCCTGCTGCTGTTGCACAGAAAAAAACAGGAGGAACCCTTTGAGGCATTTGAGTGAGGTGGAACTCATGCTATTGTGCTTTCAAATGGCTCTTGCCTAACCAGATTTATCATGTGAATGTGATCAGACCATTATCAGGAGCAACTGATCCTGGTGCTAGGCAGCCAATTGGGGGGAGGTGGGTAGGGGAAGACCCCATAGTGGCCTTGTCATAGACAGTAGGGCAGAAGTTATTCCCATCTCAGACAGATTAACCCTAAACAACAGGGTCCAGTCCAGGAAGTCACCTAGACAGGCTGGTTCCATACAGAGCACGGGGTGATGCCAGGACTCTGGATTGCTTGGTGCATAGGTAGAAACAAACAATGTACATTTTAATACAGACACATGTAAAGGGCGCATGTAGGCCATACTTACAGAATGGGGGACTCGATCCTGGGATGCCACAATGTTAATACTGGTTGGGGGGGTGTCACGGTGGATATTAGCTGAACATCTGGTCCCAGTGCATCACTGTGGCCAACGGCTTTAATATGATCTATGGATGTATAAACGGGAACGTCGAGTAGGGATAGAGAGGTTATTTTACCTCTCTATTTGGCACTGGTGTGACCACTGCTCGAATACTGTGTCCAGTTCTGGATCCGAAAAGGATTAAAGAAAGATGTTGATAAACTGGAGAGGGTTCAGAGAAGAGCTCAAGCATGATTAAAAGATCAGAAAACGTGTTAGAGCATAGGTGTTGGAACTGAGGGTGCCGGGGGGTGTCGCCACCCCCTCCCAGCTTAAAGTGGTTTCCATAAGATACAGAGTTTACAGTTTGCTTCAATGGTTCTCAGCACCCCCACTATACACATTGTTCCAGCACCCCTGAGTGCGCTTCTTGAGTCTCTCAATCTGCTTAGTTTAACAAAGATTAACAGGTGACTTGTATCCCCTATGCTCTATACGTACCTACATGGGGAGCAAATATTTGATAATGGGCTCTTTACTCTAGCAGACAAAGCTCTAACAAGATCCAGTAACTGGAATTTATGCTCGATGAATTTAGACCGGAAATAAGACGTACATCTAGAACAAATCTATCCTTGCAACAAAGCCCGTTGCCAACTGTGTCCACATATCTATTCAGGGGACACCATCATAGGGCCTAGTCACATCAGCCACACTATCAGAGGCTCGTTCATCTGCACATCTACCAATGTGATATATGCCATCATGTGCCAGCAATGCCCCTCTGCCATGTACATTGGTCAAACTGGACAGTATCTATGTAAAAAAATAAATGGACACAAATCAGACGTCAAGAATTATAACATTCAAAAACCAGTCAGAGAACACTTCAATCTCTTTGGTCACTCTATTACAGACCTAAAAGTGGCAATTCTTCAACAAAAAAACTTCAAAAACAGGCTCCAGCGAGAGACTGCTGAATTGGAATTAATTTGCAAACTGGATACTATTAACTTAGGCTTGAATAGAGGCTGGGAGTGGATGGGTCATTACACAAAGCAAAACTATTTCCCCATGTTTATTCCCCCCCCACCGCCCCAGTTCTTCAGATGTTCTTGTCAACTGCTGGAAATGGCCCACCTTGATGATCACTACAAAAGGTCCCCCCCCCCCCCCCTCCTGCTGGTAACAGTTCACCTTAGTGAGCTGTAGCTCATGAAAGCTTATGCTCAGATAAATTGGTTAGTCTCTAAGGTGCCACAAGTCCTCCTTTTCTTCTTGTTACAGTGTGTACGGTAACACCCATTGTTTCATGTTCTCTATGTATATAAATCTCCCCACTGTATTTTCCACTGCATGCATCCGATGAAGTGAGCTGTAGCCCACGAAAGCTTACGCTCAAATAAATTGGTTAGTCTCTAAGGTGCCACAAGTCCTCCTGTTTTTATCTAGAACCGTGAAGGGAGTTAATCATTGGGACAATTTACCAAGGGTTATAGTGGAGGCTCTAGCACTGGCAATTTAAAAATCAAGATGGGATGATTTTCTACTAAATGCTGTGCTCTAGTTCAAACAGCATTTTTGGGAAAGGCCTCTGGCTTCTGTTAGACTAGAATTCAGACCACAATGGTCTCTTCCGCCCCTTGAATCTCCGAAACGAGTCTCTTACTGTAACTGCCTAAGAGATTATCATTTATTTTATATTTGTGCAGCCGGTAGCATTGTGGAGACCACCCTTAGGCACTAGTACAATAACAGGGTTAAATAATAATGAATCAGCTGGATACAGCCAGTCAGGACGCTCTGTACAATAAGATACCTGAGCCACAGAGTTAAGCATTTGAAAGACTGGCGTTAATTATTGCTGAGAGAGATGACAGGGTACAATCTCCTGGAAAATAGGAATATATGCAAATATTCAAAAGCTTCTATTATATCAGCTTATGCTGTGGAAAACAAGAGAGGCCTACCTTAGACTCTAGATGTGGGGGTCTGAGAAACCTAAGCACACAATAAAGCAGAGGACAGCGGGTCAAATCCAGACCGACAGACACCTTTGAACAGACTGTGAAATCTTATTTACATATCACTACTGTTATTGACAACAAATAATTGATTCCCTATGTAGTAAGGAAAAACTACTACTCTAAACAGAGTAAGAGAGGGGACTTGCTCCCTTGAAAGGTTCTCCATTTACTGTTGTAACATCAAAAGCTGCCTTACACAGCCGGGGAAAGCATGCAGACCAGGGATATAAGAAAAAGCGTGTTGTTTTGCAGTGTGTTGCGGGGGAAGGGTAGGAGGGGTACAGAGCAGAGTTAGTGTGGGTGGGGCCCGACCAAATTGAGAACTGAGACGGCCTCACCCACTTCCACCTCTCCCGCCCTATAATTTGATGCGCCTTCGCTCCCACCAATGAGGCACCGCACAGAGAACTCTGGCCAATCATTAGCCAGCTCTTAGCTTCAAATTCAAAAATTTGCTTTTTGGCGCCAGCCCTGCTCCGCGGCTCATTGATCTCATCTGTTCAAGAATAAAACGAGCTCAAGTTAAAAGAAATTAACAATGGGAAGAAGTGTAAAAAGCACTGATTAAAGCTCTTTCAACTCAGACTCTTTCAAGAACGAGTGAAGAATATGGTTTCCACCTGTAGCTAAATTCAAAATGTTTTTATTAACATTCATTCCTTCATCACTCCAGTCTGCACATTCACCATCTCAGACGTCTCCAGGTTTTCTCTGCTCTTTTATCGCTTTGAAACATGTTAGTGTCATTTCCTATAGGTCTATGAGTTGCAATCCCGTCTATTAATTTTTTTTTCCAGCGACCAGTAAGCTATCCCTCAGCATAGAAATTTTAAAGATGTTTTTATTTGAAAAATTATAATCAATTAAACCACTGAATTGATAATTTGGGAAGAAATAGATACATTCAGTAACATTCTGGATGGTCTTTAAACGCCTTAAATTTGACAAAATGGAAAAAGGAATATTTCTATTTTATAAAAGTGCCCTTGAAACAAGGTAATATATTTTCTGAGACTCAGTTCTATTAACTAACTCATCAGAAAAAATACAAACAATCAAATCATTTTTTCTTGGTGAGAGAGACAAGATTTCAAAGCTCTTCAGGTCTGGAAAATGTACTTGCAGAGTGTCACAACTAAATATAAAATGGAACATAGTGTTTAAGCTGATTAACACTGCTCCAGTCATACAGAGGGAGAAATATATTGAATACACTGTTTCCTTAACAGGTTTCAGAGTAGCAGCCGTCTGTATCTGCAAAAAGAAAAGGAATACTTGTGGCACCTTAGAGACTAACAAGTTTGAGCATAAGCTAACAAATAAATTTGTCTCTGAGGTGCCACAAGTACGCTTTTTCTGTTTCCTTAACAGTTCTCCTTAGAAAGTTCTGATCTGTTTCTCTAATTAACTCAACTACCAAGCCCCTTTACTCAAGTGAAAGGTAAATTCACACTTTCTCACTGCATATAAGTTCTATGTCATGCTCTGGTATCAGCTAGGTTTGTGATTTGCCAGGATGTTACACAAATTAGTGGAGTCTGGGGATAGACTGCTACAAAAGTTATAAACTCACGTACATCTGAAAGTTAGATGTTAACCACTTTGCCAGTGAAAGTGACTAGAGCTCTCATGGATTAAGTAGGTGGCTCTTAAAAGAGCCGTTGTATTTTGTTTTTCAGAGACAGAGACCAGTTACTTGGAGCTGGTGTACTTGGTCACAGCCTTGGTGCCCTCAGACACGGCGTGTTTGGCCAGCTCCCCGGGCAGCAGCAGGCGCACGGCGGTCTGGATCTCCCGGGAGGTGATGGTGGAGCGCTTGTTATAATGCGCCAGGCGGGACGCCTCCCCAGCAATGCGCTCGAAGATGTCGTTGACGAAGGAATTCATGATGCCCATGGCCTTGGAGGAGATGCCGGTGTCGGGGTGAACCTGCTTCAGCACCTTGTAGACATAGATGGAGTAACTCTCCTTCCGGGTCTTGCGGCGCTTCTTGTCCCCTTTCTTCTGGGTCTTGGTCACCGCTTTCTTAGAGCCCTTCTTAGGCGCAGGAGCGGACTTGGCTGGATCAGGCATTCTTGCTTCGTAGCGGCTCACTCACTAAAACACGGATACGAGAAACTGAATGGTAAGCTGCCAGTGTAGGAGAGCCTTTATTTATAGCACCCCTAGGCGAATGAGGGTAGCCTAATTCCACCTTTCCTATTGGATACTAACTACTGCGTTACCTTTCTCTATTACAAATTCGTATTCAAATAAACTGCCACGACAAGTCTCGCGATTCTATTGGCTACCACAACAGCATAGTCCTCTCGATTGGTCAGATTGAGAAGTCGGCTTCCCATTGGGTCTTTCAGGCGCTTTTTGCTTGGCCAATCACCAGTGTCTGGCCTGATTGCTACGAGGGCATAAAAAGGCAAGACCGCGGTTCGCTCCACCGTAGTTTTATTGCAATTGTTCAGTGTTTGTTTTTTGTTAAGAAGCTTCATAATGTCTGGCCGTGGAAAGCAGGGAGGCAAAGCTCGGGCGAAGGCTAAGTCTCGCTCGTCTCGTGCGGGGCTGCAGTTTCCTGTAGGCCGTGTGCACCGGCTGCTGCGCAAGGGGAACTATGCGGAGCGAGTGGGTGCCGGCGCCCCCGTTTACATGGCTGCGGTGCTGGAGTATCTGACTGCTGAAATTTTGGAGCTGGCTGGTAACGCGGCCCGGGACAACAAGAAAACCCGCATCATCCCCCGCCACTTGCAGCTGGCTATCCGCAACGACGAGGAGCTGAACAAGCTGTTGGGCAAAGTCACCATCGCTCAAGGTGGGGTCCTGCCCAACATCCAGGCGGTTCTGCTACCCAAGAAAACCGAGAGCCATAAAGCCAAGGGCAAGTGAGCAGGCTACTGCTGCTGCCTTTCAGGCGAGGGAGATCCCTGCCACTCAGAGCATGTCAACCCCAAAGGCTCTTTTCAGAGCCACTCACAATGTCAAGATGAGAGTTGTTAATCCCTGTTGTGTCGCTTTGGGGTTGTTGCTTTTATGGGGGTGTTGCGAAGGGAACATGGAGCAGTTCAGTAAAAACTCACGGCCAGGTTGCTAACCGGTCGAAAACGTGGCAAGAATATACAGAAAGAAAAGAAGTACTTGTGGCACCTTAGAGACTAACCAATTTATTTGAGCATGAGCTTTCGTGAGCTACAGCATCGGATGCATACCGTGGAAACTGCAGCAGACTTTATATATACACAGGAGAGTGAATTTGTGGGGTGGAGGGTGAGAAAACCTGGATTTGTGCTGGAAATGGCCCAACCTGATGATCACTTTAGATAAGGTATTACCAGCAGGACAGTGGGGTGGGAGGAGGTATTGTTTCATATTCTCTGTGTATATATAAAGTCTGCTGCAGTTTCCACGGTATGCATCCGATGCAGTGAGCTGTAGCTCACGAAAGCTCACGCTCAAATAAATTGGTTAGTCTCTAAGGTGCCACAAGTCCTCCTTTTCTTTTTGCGAATACAGACTAACACGGCTGTTCCTCTGAAACCTGTTAAGAATATACAGAAGGCCCATAGTTCTCTGAAAACACGCCCCAGGGGTAGAAAACCTCCCCTGATCCCTTCCCAGAGAACTGAAAACGGTGCAGCAGGTAATGAGAACAAGTAACAAAGTCCTTTGCCAGGTGTGGGGGCGACACACGTAGTAATTTTAATAAAGCGAGGAAGACAAAGTGCTGGAGGCGGGTTGCGCGTTTTCCCGTGCTGTAGGGGCTGCTAGGCTGTATCAGGGCGAAGAACAATAAAACGGCTACCGTGGGTCAGACCAAAGGTCCATCTGGCCCAGTATCCGGCCTTCCGAGAGTGGGAAGGAAAGCGGGTGGAATCTGGAGGGCGGCGGAATTCACCCCAGCCCGGCAAATTCAAACGGTACAAACGGCTGCGCGCCATGCTGCCAGCAAATCAGCGAAGGGGGCCCAGGGCACGCACGCCCCCTTCTCCCACCCCCCGCACGCCTTTGTGGGATGGAGGGTCGGGGAGGGTTGTGTCTCCCGCCAATGCCCGGGAAATTCAAAAAGCTCAACTACCCCTGCTGCGAGTTACTGAAAATCCGCGGGAGGCGCAGAACGCGCAGACCAGGGGCTCTTCAGCAAGACCTCCACTTCCCTTCTATCCCTGCCAGCAGTGAGCACCCAAAACCGCACAGTACCCCTCTATGCCCTCCCCCCCAGGCACGGAGCACTCCTCCCACTTCCCTTTTATCCCCCTAGGCCAGGGGTTCTCAAACTGAGGCGGTGGCGAGGTGATTACATGGAGGGTCGCAAGCTGTCAACCTCCACCCCAAATCCTGCTTTGCCTCCAGCATTTATAATAGTGCTAAGTATATAAAACAGAGTTTTTAATTTATAAGGGGGGAGGGTCGCACTCAGAGGCTTGCTACGTGAAGGGGGTTACCAGTAAAAAAGTTTGAGAGCCACTGCCCTAGGCTCTGAGCAGACCCCCTCCCAGTGTCCCCTCCATCCACCTGGGCCCTGAGCAAGCCCCCCGCATAGCCCTCTATTACCCCCCTCCCAGTGCCCCTCAGACACTGAGGAAAGTCCCTCCCAGTGTCCCCTCCATTCCCCCTCAGGCACTGAGCATTGGCAAGCTCCCCCCTCCAATGTGTCCCTCTATCCCCTCCCAGGCATTGAGCACACACCAGGGTCCGCTCTATGGCCAGGCGCTTAGCGCTCTGCTCTAGGGAGTGGAAACAGAGGGGTTTAGTCACCTCTCCCCAATCCCTGCCCAGCCCGGGAAATTTAAACCCCTCAACGGTCGCCCGGCTGCTCCTAGCCAATCAGGAGCCAGGACTGGGCTATAAATGGCGCACAGCGGCGGCGGGGTGCTTATTGCTCTGCGGCGGGACTGGAGAAAGGCTGGTAGCGCGCTGCAGCGAGCATGGCCCGTACCAAGCAGACGGCTCGTAAATCCACCGGTGGCAAAGCGCCCCGCAAGCAGCTCGCCACTAAAGCTGCCCGGAAAAGCGCCCCCGCCACGGGCGGGGTGAAGAAGCCCCATCGCTACCGCCCCGGCACCGTGGCCCTGCGGGAAATCCGCCGCTACCAGAAATCCACCGAGCTGCTGATCCGCAAACTGCCCTTCCAGCGCCTGGTGCGGGAGATCGCCCAGGACTTCAAGACGGACCTGCGCTTCCAGAGCTCGGCCGTCATGGCCTTGCAGGAGGCGAGCGAGGCTTATCTGGTGGGGCTCTTCGAGGACACCAACCTGTGCGCCATCCACGCCAAGCGAGTCACCATCATGCCCAAGGACATCCAGCTGGCGCGCCGCATCCGCGGGGAGAGAGCCTAGGGCCGCTCCCCTCGGAGCCCGCCGGCTCCCGAACCAACGCCCCCAAAGGCTCTTCTAAGAGCCACCACGTGCCCACGCGAAAGAGTTGAAATTCATCCTTTTTCTGCTTCCTAGAACAAGTTCACACTGGCTAAGTGCCTTCTTGGCACCGGAGTCAGATCATTGCAACACTTGTGCTACTCCGCTTCCTAGATAATGTCGCAATGGGTTGGTTCTGCAATTACGAATCTGTTTATACAATCACAAACGAAGGAAAAAGAGCTTGAATTTAGCCTCTGGCCTTACAAGGCAGTACCCGCAGTCCCTAAACCCCTTCCCGGTAGAGGCAGGAGTTCAGTACAAACATGACCATTTTAATTTTAAAACGCCCCTTTTGAAAACGTAGCTTCTCCAATGCTCAAACCAGCCTGCCCAGACGGGGGCTGGTCTTCAGGGAAGAAGAAACCCGAGGAAGGCAGCGGCTACAGAGAGTTTCTCTAGGGCCCGGAAACGAATCAATCAAATATTTGTTTTATCACCATCTTGTTTCTGGCCTGCAACAACTGAGTGAAGATTCGGAGTCGGTTTGAGCACAAGGGTCTGGCTCCGTATTTGCAACTTCTCTTGTCTGGAGAAAAGGGTTTTTTTGTTTTTTCTTTTGAAATAAAAGAAGCCGTTTTTTTCAACGCCGCCCCCGTCCCGAGGCGGTGGGTTGATATGCAAATGACCGGGGAGAGGGGGGGGAACAGGGATGAACTAATTGCGGAAGTTCAGAAAATAAGCAACTCTCCGGGTCCGCTGCCCGGCACTGGTGCCCCCAAGTTCAATCAAGCACCCCGAGAAGTTGGTACGGAGGCTTCTAAACAAAGTCAGTTCCCAACCCCCCTTCACCAAACACCCTGAAACACGGCACCTCCTACCCTTCCGCCAGCATCCCTCTCTAATCCGGTTCCCGCGCCCGAATCCTCCCGAGGGGAGTGGGGAAAAGGCGTGACCGTGACCCTCTGAGGAGTGTTTTTCCTCCCTGGACTGAACCGCACCAAGGAGGACAAGGAGACTTTGTGCGGGGGGGTGGGGAGGGAGAGGTGCTCTCGCTGCTGCCAGGTTTTATCCCTGCATTTACTCTATTCCTTGGCTGGCGGAGTGCTAAAGCCGGGCTAGGTCTGAATCCGTGTTCGGTCAGCAGCGCTGCGTGTGTTCGCTCGGAGCGGCGAACTCCGCTCCTTACCTTGTATAGCACGTTGTGGAAGGACACTTTCATCGCCTCCCTGGTGGTCTAGTGGTTAGGATTCGGCGCTCTCACCGCCGCGGCCCGGGTTCGATTCCCGGTCAGGGAATAAATGTATTTTTATTTTTTTTCCCCAGGACCCTTATTACCCTGTGGCATTTTGTGCAGACCGATCCACAGGAGTCCCCAACTGGCAATAAACTCGCCTCGGCGAGCGGCTTGTTCGCCAAGCGCCGGGGCCCCGTAAAAGGGGAAGGGAGGCGGGAGCGGTGGCCACACGCGTGTGCGCGGCGCGAGTAAAGGTTTGGCTGATGAAAAGGCACCGCTGGGATTCGAACCCAGGATCTCCTGTTTACTAGACAGGCGCTTTAACCAACTAAGCCACGGCGCCGGCTTGCGAAAGGGCCGCAATTGTCTCCTTAATGCCAAGTGGCCCCATTCCCCCATTCGGGCACATACATGGGGGAGCTGCGAGAGGGAATCTGCCGGGCCCTTCTGCACAGTGCCTAAGATCTCAGCCCCTTCTGCCAGTTACAAACACTTGTAAATCCTCCCCTGGTAACTGCCGGAATTAAAGCCCTCCTAGGCTTGTAGCTGGTCGGGGAAGAATCTAACTGGCTGAGTTTCTGGGACACAATGACTGACCAGTTTAGTTTTAATAACTTTATCCGGCCATGAACTGCACCTTTGAAATCCCTCAGGAACTCGTGTCCGAGCCCTTGCCAATAATGCAGCTCTGTGTCCTTGCCAAAGAAAGGCCTTTTGATGACACCTGGCTAGAGGGTGTGCGGAAGTGGGCCTGTTCGCAATGTTTTCTCTGAATAGTGTGGGGGTACCTCAGTTTCCCCTAGCATTTTTGAAGTATCTAGGTCAGTGGTTCTTAACTTTCACCCCTTTGGTCCTCAAAATCTGTTCTCGCACCCCCTTATCAAAAATCGTTGAAGTAGGTCAGTTCTTTAAGCCTAGAGATATTTTTTTGTTGGTATATTACAATAATCATTAAAAAAGTGTCATGTTAATAAATACACAGCTTTGATAAAGCTAAGTAGTTGTACTTACCTGCCTGTGCTTAATTTGTGTTTTCCATGATTTACCTTCTAAAAAAAGATCTGGCCTGTCTCCCACCCCAGAAAGGGCATCTCACACCCCCAGGGGATGCGTGCACCCCAGGTTAAGTACCAGGGATCTAGGTGGGGGGATAAGGGGGGGTGTGATTGTTGCAAAGCCCTAGAAGGCAGGTATGAGGGGGTCTGCACAGAGAATGGCCGACACCCCATCTCCTGGCAACTCATGGCCTGGGCCCCTCCCAGCAAGGTTCCAACTGAAGGGGCTGGAGAACAAAGGGATCGGGTGGCCTCCTGGCCTGGGGGAAAGAGACAAAGGCCAGAGGAGGGGCTGGAGGGGGCTTCAGTTTGGAGCTGGCTGGGGAGACAGGGGGAGGCCCAGAACCTGGGTCTGGGCTTCCCATCCCCCCCAAGATGGACCTGACTGAGTGGTCCTGTTTTCTATACCTACAAGCTCTGTTTTGGGTTGTGTTCCTGTCATCTAATAAACCTTCTGTGTTACTGGCTGGCTGAGAGTCACGTTGAATTGTAGGAAGTGGGGGGGTGCAGGGCTCTGACTCCCCCGCACTCTGTGACAGAGGGGGTCAATTTGCCCTTTGTTTAAGGCCTGCTTGAACAGATTTGCCTAATCCAGGCCAGGCGGGTTTGCATCCGTGCCACCAACATCATCCTAACTTCACATAGAATGGTGTTGCACACCATTTTCAAATGACACACCTCGCACGGCATACATATTTTGCACAAAGATTAGTACAGTGGTGCGTAGGGTGCATAGGTGCTGGAAGTAGGGGGCTGCCGCACCCCTTGGCTTGAAGTGGTTTCCATCATACACAGGGTTTGCAGTTTGGATCAATGGCTCTCAGCACCTCCACTGTACAAATTGTCCCAGTACCCCTGTAGCTAAGGGTCAGAGTCAGGCTTTCAAGTGCCAGTCAATAGGCCAGTGCATCATTGGCAAGAGAGTCCATCTTGTTGCACTCCTGGGCTTAAATAAAGTGCTTGGACCAACCAAGGGCCAGACCGGAAGCTGTCAGTCTGGCTTTCCAGGCAGTATGTCTTGTGGTATTTACCTTCACAGGATCTGTGCAGTCATTTGGGCAACCCCCATCATGGCAGCTAGGTAGTGTTACTGTTAAGGAAAAGTCAGCACATGTGACTCCATTTTGGTTTGGGGCCCGCCGTTGTTTAAATGCCAGCACATCATACACCAGGAGGAGTGATCCTTAGATACTGAATCCCTGTGAAAATCCTCCTCCTTGTCTCCAGCCTGCCTTGACTCCCAGTATCTGGTTTTTGTCAGTCTCTAACTCCCTGTCTCTTGGCCTTGATGTGAGGCCTCCCATCCTGATTTACTGATGCATGGCTTTAGGACCATGCTGTTTAATTAACATACTGGTATAGCAGGAGGAATGCACCAAGCAGGGATAGGTGGTAGATAAGACAAGGGTTTGTTTATTGGCTAAGGTTTCCGATGCACGAAGGCAACATGTTTTGCCAAAAAGTATATAACCTTTGTATAATCTGTATTCAGGGTCCCCCCCTGGCTAGCAGGGGGGCACCACGCTCGAGCGTAATAAACTTAGTGTCTTTTGGGAACTCTGCAGTTGTGGACTTTGTTTATGTGCCTCAGCCTAGATTCGAACTGTGCGTGACCTATCAGGTATAATTTGCAGCATTGGTGTGCGTGTCCTACCAGGTGTAATTCGCAGCAGTTGTGTGCGTGTCCTACCAGGTGTAATTCATAACACTACATTCTCTCATTCTCCCATCTTCTCCCCCACACACTGTTAGTACCTGTTGGTAAATATCAATCCTTTCCATTCTTTCTTTCTGCATATTTCATCCATGTATATGGTCACTATTCTTTAGAATCTCTGTCTTCAACAAAGAGTATGTCTGAATTTGAAGGCTCAGAACACTGGTCCTTGACCAACAAGTAACCCTATTCAGGAATTTAATCTGTGATGCTGTATTTTAAACAATCTTGGGTGCCTTCATGCCTATACATCTCCAGCTATTCTTGGAAACAATCTTCTTAACATGTGTGTGCATGCATACACACACACACAGAGCTGATATAAGCTTATATAGACTTGGGAAACTGATATGGGATCATTGGTACAGCTGGTGTTTTCTGATGTGGAATGAACCAGGAAGAAAGATTAGAAAAAATGGGGTTAGTTTAGTCTGGAGAAGAGAAGACTGAGAGGGGATGTGATAAGTTTTCAAGTACATTAAAGGTTGCTACAACTGGAAGGGGGAGAAAAATTGTTCTTGTTAACCTCTGAGGAGAGGACAAGAAGCAATGGGCTTAAACTGCAGCAAGGGCGGTTTAGGCTGGACATTAGGAAAAGGTTCTTAACTGTCAGGGGGGTTAAACACTGGAATAAATTGCCTAGGGAGGTTGTGGAATCTCCACCATTGTATCAAGTATCAGGGGGTAGCCATGTTAAGTCTGTATCCACAAAAACAAAAAGGAGTCTGGTGGCACCTTAAAGACTAACAGATTTGTTTGAGCATAAGCTTTCGTGGGTAAAAACCCCACTCCTTTAGATGCATGGAGTGAAAATTACAGATGCAGACATAAATATACTGGCACTTGAAGAGAGGGGCATTACCTCACAAGTGGAGAACCAGTGTTGACTGGGCCAATTCGATCAGGGTGGATGTAGTCTACTCCCAACAATACATGAGGAGGTGTCAATTCCAGGAGAGGCAAAGCAGCTTTTGTAATGAGCCAGCCACTCCCAGTCCCTGTTCAAGCCCAAATTAATGGTGTTAAATTTGCCAATTAATTTTAGTTCTGCTGCTTCTCTTTGAAGTGTGTTTCTGAAATTTTTTTGTTCAAGTATGGCTACTTTCAAATCTGTTATAGAATGTCCAGGAAGAATGAAGTGTTATTCTACTGCCTTTTGTGTGTTACCATTCCTGATGTCCAATTTGTGTCCATTTATTCTTTTACGTAAAAGAATAAATGGACACAAATTGGACATCATTTCTGTGCTAACAAGTTCTGGCCCCTGAGGGGTCCTAACCCCCAGTTTGAGAACCCCGGCTGTAGGAACCTGGGAACCAGCCCTGAAGAAAATGAGCCATGTGGGCAGCAGACCAAAAGGACACAGTGGTTCTGTGTTCTGGAACAATTTGTATAGTGTGGGGTGCTGAAAGCCATTCAACCAAACTGTAAACCCTGTATGTGATGGAAACCATTTCAAGCCAGGGGGGTGCAGCATCACCCTGAGTTCCGGCACATATGAAAAAGACAAGGCTGCAAAGATTTTTTCAGCAGCTGGGAGCAATGTTTGACTTGACTCTGAACAATCGGATGATGCAGTTCTCCCATGCAAAAACCCACAGAAGGGAGTTTGTAGTCAGCCTCCAATTGAGCCTGCAGTCCACCCGACATGTGGATCCCCACACTACGCTTGGTGTTAGAGAGCCAGCTGGTGGGTCTGCTGATAGAGGAGGCTTATCACCCTTCTATCCCACTGTGTGATTTTGTTTAGCTTAACAGAATGTTCATAGAGTCATAGAACTGGAAGAGACCTCGAGAGGTCATCCAGTCCAATCCCCTGCACTCATAGCAGGACTAAGTATTACCTAGACCAGGGGTTCTCAAATCCCCTCAGGGGGTCATGAGGTTATTCTGTGGGGGCTCAGCGAGCTGTCAGCCTCCATCCCAAACCCCGCTTTGCCTCCAGCATTTATAATGGTGTTAAATATATAAAAAAGTGTTTTTAATTTATAAGGGTCGCACTGAGAGGCTTGATATGTGAAAGGGGTCACCAGTACAAACGTTTGAGAACTATTGTCCTACAGGGATCTGGGTCAGTAAGAAATATATTCTCCTTCCTGCTTTTTCCTGGGCCCCATCCCAAAGGGGAGCATTGCTTGTATCCTTCACTCACTGATCACTGTGCGGTGAAGGCGCAGAGAGTAGAGGCAGCGCCAAAGCGGCATTTGAAGTTAACTGCTGATTAATGATTGGCCAGGGAGCGATACTAGGTGTCTCACTGGTGAGCGAGACAGTCGACGTCACCCTGGGCGGGGCGAGCGGGAGGGGAGAGATGCTGCGCCCCGCCTTTTTGCCTTCGGTTTTCACTCCGGTCGGACCATCGCCTATATAAACCCATGCTTTTTGAAAGCGAGATTTCATTTTGTGTTTTCGTGTGAGGTTTGTAGGTTTTGTAGTCATGTCAGGTCGCGGAAAGGGCGGTAAGGGGCTGGGGAAAGGTGGTGCTAAGAGACATCGTAAAGTGCTGCGGGATAACATCCAGGGCATCACAAAGCCGGCCATCCGCCGCCTGGCTCGCCGCGGCGGGGTGAAGCGCATCTCGGGGCTGATCTACGAAGAGACCCGCGGGGTGCTGAAGGTTTTCCTGGAGAACGTGATCCGCGACGCGGTGACTTACACCGAGCACGCCAAGCGGAAGACGGTGACCGCCATGGATGTGGTGTACGCCCTGAAGCGCCAGGGGCGCACCTTGTACGGCTTCGGAGGCTGATTGATTTTTTTTTTTAAAGCGTGACTTGCATTTTGTTCAACCCAAAGGCTCTTTTAAGGGCCACCCACTTCCCCACGGAAGGAGCTTGTTTCACTGCTGGTTACGTTGTCATTGAAGCGAAGTGGTTTATAGGGATGTAGTAATGGGTTCGTTTAGTGGCAATAAGGGAACTTTTTTGTTTTATTGTGTGGGGGTTTTTAAAAACTCCGGTGTCCAGCACAGAGGCTGTAAACTTCAGCGATGTGATTGGTTCTGCGAACAGTTATTTCGGGAGGATTTCGATTTACTCAAAACTCACTGAACCCCTAGTGCTGGGAGTAGCATTCAGAACGCTGTGCGTTTACACAGGCGGAAAGGGGAACGAAAACGCCTCGATTTGTGCACGAAGAAGAACGGGGACGTGCAGTCCCGGCCTTGCATGCAATAGTGCCCCACGAGCCTTTTTGGGGGGAGGGACATTAAAAGTTTTGGCACGATGACAGATTCCCTGAGTGTCTCTGTTTTAGAGGTTCTCCTCCCCCCCCCTAGTTAAATTGATATTCCAACACCGGCTTGCCCCAGGGAGCCGGCTGCAGCAGCCGTTCTCCCGCCAAATACTGTAGCTGGGGTAGGGGGGTCTCCTGGGTCCTACAAGCCCGCGGCCGAAATATCTCTTCCCTCATCCGGCCTATTGAGACTGAGGGGAGTGTTTATTCCCTCGCGTCTTGCAACTCCTTTCTGCGCATGCTCAGGAATAAGTCCGGGCGCCAAATTTAAACTTAATGGCTGGCGAATAATTGGCAGGGGTGCGATACTCGGTGTCTGATTGGTGGGTGGGGAGTCGCCGCACCCGGTAGGGCAGAGAAGGGGACAGGAGAGAGATCCCGCCGGCTCCGCTCCTAGGTTTTCCCTCTGGTCCGCCGAGAGCGGCTCTGACAAGGGATGGTGTTTTGTTCTGTGGGCGCGGGAAAGGTGGAAAGGGGCTGGGGAAAGGCGGTGCTAAGAGGCACCGTAAGGTCTTAAGAGACAATATCCAGGGTATCACTAAACCAGCGATCCGCCGCTTGGCTCGCCGCGGCTGGGCGAAGCGCATCTCGGGGCTGATCGACGAAGAGACCCGCGGGGTGCTGAAGGTTTTCTTGGAGAACGTGATTCGGGATGCGGTGACTTAGACCGGGCACGCCAAAAGGAAAACCGTGACGGCCACGGATGTGGTGTACGCCCTGAAACGCCAGGGGCGCACCCTGTAGGGGTCGGGGGCTGATCCTCAAAAATGATTCAACCCAAAGGCCCTTTTAAGGGCCACTCATTCCTGCATAGAAAGAGTTGGTCTTGCTGTGTACGGTTACACGGATATTAACATTGTGCTTCTATCTGGTTCGGATATTAACCTGCAAGTACTTTTTTCAACTAAGCTACTACAATGTTAGTCAAGTATCCGGGGGTAGGCATGTTAGTCTGTACCGACAAAGACAACGAGGAGTCCGGTGGTACCTTAAAGACAGATTTATTTGGGCATAAGTTTTGTGGGTAAAAAGCCCCCTTTCAGGTGCACGAAGTGAAAATTACAGATGCAGGCATTATTATACTGGAGAATTTGCAAATTTAACACTCTTAATTTGGGCTTGAATAGGGGCTGGGCGTGGCTGGCTCACTACAAAAGCAAGTTCGCCTCTCCTGGAATTGACCGGACTCCTTGTTACAATAATGATACAACTGGAGGGTATAAACCAATAATACTTAACAGAGCTATACTGTTTTTTTAAAGGAACTGCGTTGTTCAAGAAGGAAAATGGAGTCAGCCTTGTGGCACCTTAGAGACTAACATTTATTTGGGCATAAGCTTTCATGGGCTAAAACCCACTTCATCGGATGCATGGAGTGGAAAATACAGTAAACAGAATATATATCACAGCACATGCAAAGATGGGAGTTGCCTTACCAAACTGGGGGTCAGTGCTGACCAGGCCGATTCAATTAAGGTGGAAGTGGCCTATTCTCAACAGTTGACATGAAGGGGGTGAATATGGAGAGAAAATTACTTTTGTAGTGTTAACAAGGGCAATGAAATCCAGGTGGACATCAGCCATTCCCAACAGCTGACAAGAAGGGGTAAGTATCAGCATAGGGAAAATTATTTTGTAGTGACCCAGCCACTCCCAGTCTCCATGCAGGCCTAATTTGATGGCATCCAGTTTGCAAATTTATTCCAGTTCTGCAGTTTCTCATTGAAGCCTGGTGTTGAAGTTTTTTTGGTTGAATGGCCACTTTAAAGTCTGTTAAGTGGTCAAGAAGGTAAGGGAAACTTAATGATTTATTTGTATAGTATACTTAGGATTTCTCTTATGTGCATGATACTGCCTTACTGGGAAAGAATGCCTCAGCTAATGCTAGAAGACATGGGGGAGGGGGGAGAAGAACCTGAGCCCTCATAAGCCAAAGCTAGGCATGTTTATAAAACAAACAAGTGCCCTATCAATGTTACATGTAGATAGCTGTAGATAGCAATGATACTGAAAGCCTGAAACAAAGTCTTCTCGAATGGGGCAGTGGGTTGACAGCAGGAGGTTCTTCAGCTAAAGAAATCACATGGGTCTATCTTGCATCAATGGCATTTTAGTACGGACACTGCTCTGTTTTGGCAGTGGGATGGTCTTTGACAACTTAAGATCTGAATTTTCAATGAGAACTCTATTTAGTGCAGAAGAAGTGCTGTTAAACAGCTGAGAAGGAACTAACCCGGTCTCAGTTACAAGCTATATTAGACAACCGTTGTTTTGCTTAGTCACAAACTAGGGGTACTTGCACAAGCTGGGAACAAGACAACTGCAATGTTGGGGGTCACGTCCCCTGCGCAGAACAAGCTTTTACAGCAGGTTTATAGAGCTGAGGGGAAGGAAGTGATGCATGCATCTGATCACAAATGAGAGGTTGGAAGATGAAATTTAGAGGAATTTAAGCAGCTTCAATCCTCCCATACTGACTCTTACTGAAAGAGGACAGCTTGCAAGGGACTAATCTTTGGCGGGAGGAAGGAAAATCATGACAATTCTAGTATTTCAGTTTAGTCACTATTAGATTACTATGAAAACAGATTTCCCTTGTCACGCAAAGGCAGTTTCCTGCTGAAGGCAAGGAAGCTGCTTTGTTACAAAGTATCAAAGGGCTTCGTAAAAGACAACGGAGAAGGAAGATCTCTCTAAATAAAAGCCGGACGTTAGCCACGAATCCAACCATCCACAGCTAGGGTTAGCTGCACAAGGATTTCACATCACAAGCACAGTCTCCCCCAACAGTTTCTGCAGAGAAATCAAGAGCATTTACTAGCGGTCATGACCCCCCCCCCCCACAGGGTTTCATCTATTCAGCCGCAAGGAAATCGTTCTTTCATTATCTCAAAAAAAAAAAAAAAAGTGATCAGAAGAGTTTTAGAAATTAATTAAAACTTTTTCTTCTGAATAGTAGAATCCACAGTTACCTATATGGACCCAGTGGTATACACGAGCCGGTTTAAGTGAACTCAAAAGGATTTAAACTGGAAGGAAACCCAAAAGCTGAGTGCTCAGGAGACTCCAGAAAACACGTGTTATCAAGAACTACCCCTTAATACAACGCCACACAAGTGAATTTGCATAAAAATAAGCGTCCTCGGAAAACTAGTAAACTGTAATTTAAAACATATACAACTAGACCTCTGTGCCCAGCAAACCCAGCTCTTCCTGTGCAAAAGTGGGTGGCCCTTAAAAGGACCTTTGGATTGCAATAGCCGTACCGGTTCCTGGGCTGGCAGTTTAACCCCCGAACCCGTACAGGGTGCGCCCTTGACGCTTTAGGGCGTACACCACATCCATGGCCGTTACCGTCTTCCGCTTGGCGTGCTCGGTGTAAGTCACCGCGTCGCGGATCACGTTCTCCAGGAAAACCTTCAGCACCCCGCGGGTCTCCTCGTAGATCAGCCCCGAGATGCGCTTCACCCCGCCGCGGCGAGCCAGGCGGCGGATCGCTGGTTTAGTGATACCCTGGATATTGTCTCTTAAGACTTTACGGTGCCTCTTAGCACCTCCCTTACCCAGGCCCTTTCCACCCTTACCCCGACCGGACATTTCTGCTCTGAGTCTAAGCAGCACGAGAATGCAAGTGTCCTCTGGCGCAGGCCAAGGGCTTAACTAGGCTGGGATCCGACCAGAGGGAGAACTGCGAGGGACGCCGGCGGGAACGCCCTCTCCCGCCCGCCTCTCAGCCCTGCCGCGTGACGCTCATTCCCCTCCCACCAATGAGACACAGCGCGTCGCACCCCAGCCAATCCTGAGCCAGAATTCTACTTTAAACCCCAAAGAGTGAATTTTGGCGCGCGCGCGCGCGCGCCGCGTGCAGTTCATAGCTCTTGCACCCCCTAGGCGTCCTGCATCAGATAGGAATGCAAAAAAAGGAGCTTGAACCCCCAGCATCTCTTCCATTGCAAAAGGAGGGGGGCTGTTATTTTCCTCTAGTACTGAGGGGACCCCTGGAGGCCTGTGTCACGGCGTCCCCAGGTGATGCTCCGGATCTGCTCCCTAAGAAGCCAGGCAGCACTCTGGGGGAGCCTCCTCTCTGGGAATATCCTGTCCCCAGGGCAAGACACTGCCTGGCTTCCACGTTCCTGGGTCTGACCTCAGAGCCGTCAGCCTCCCCTGCCCCAGCCTGCGCTTCCCGCAGCGAGTCCGCCCAGGCGGGGCTCCTGGGGAAGCCAGAGGGTCCTGCCCCCCGACTCCACAGTCTGACGTGACTCTCAGCCGGCTGGTAAAACAGAAGGTTTATTAATTAACAAGAACACAGTATAGAACAGGACGTGTTAGGGCAGAAATCCGTGACTTTCAACCCACTCCATCCTGGGGAGTCCTGGACCAGGCGGCCTTGGATCCCCACAAACAGACTCCCAGCTTCCAGCCACCCAACCTCAGACACACCTGTTGCTCCTACTTGTGTTTGTCTGGGTCTCAGGTTAGGAAGGGCACCCGTCCTAGCATCCAAGCAGGCATCTGGAGCAGACTCACCTGCCCCAGAGGTCTCAGCCAAAGTCACACACCCCTATTCCCACCAGTGGGGTATTAGTGCAGCAAAAGGGGAAACTGAGGCACACACAGTATTCATGCAAAACAGTAAAATTCACATAGGCTGAACAGTAAGACTCACACACAACATAATGAGGGGAAATCCCCACTTTGTCACATCTCTCCCCGGTTTGAGATGGAACTGAGCGGGGGTCACTTTAGCCAGTGGCCTGGGGAAGTTCAGGCCCCCCTCTCTGGGACAAAGTATCAAAGTTATAACATTTGCACTCCCCTTAACAGGGACCACCTCCATCTCATACTCCTGAAGGGACAGAGTCCACCTCAGGAGTTTGACACTGGCCCCTTGCATCTGGTGCAGCCACGGCAGGGCGAGGGGTCCATGTCCACAGTGAAGCGCTGCCCAAAGACCTCTGGCTGCAGCTTTAAGAGCCCCGTCTCCAGGGCTAGGTATTCCTTCTTTATGTACCTGACATGAGCTGGAATCATAAAGGGGGATGTGGGAAGTCACACAAGTAACCCACCAGGCTCATCCAGATGTGAAAAAAACGCAAAAATGGGTGTGGACTAGCAGAAGCAATTTAATCAATCCAAAATACCACAACGTGAGCACGCACGCACCTTACAGTGGTATGGTGTTTTCAAAATAGATTTATAGCTCTTCCAAGCTCATTAGCTAAAGCAAGAGAAGACAGCAACCGATAAAAAAAATCGAACTTTTCTCTGTGGACACAAGACAGCATAGACTGAAGAAATAAAAAAATCGACACTAAAAGACATTCTGCCATATCGGCAACCCTGTCTTTTCTTATTGCCAAACACGAAGTATTCAGAGAATGTGTGTTTTTTGTGCTATGCAGAACAAATGAAAGCAGAAAAATGTTCTGGCTTTATGGGGCAGAAAAAGGGAGATAGCAGAGGATGGTTTCGATCCATCGACCTCTGGGTTATGGGCCCAGCACGCTTCCGCTGCGCCACTCTGCTAGGCGTTGGCAGAGGTTTGTATAAGTGGGTGTCATGCATGTGCGTGTTCTTGCACCAGGGCCATAAGGCGAGAGATCCATTTTAACACGGTTTCCTTTTCATTCGCTTGAAGCACAGGGTCGCTGGCAAGAACAACAAAGAGTCCTGCCAGGAGAACTATCGGGTGGCGGCTTTGCTGCGTTTAATTCACGGTCCCCACTGAAATGCCTGCATGACCAGCCGGGCTCAGGGGCTTGCTTTCGGCAGTGGGATTTTTGGGGGTGCTGGGAGCTCCTTGCTTTCTGCAGTCTTTGTATGTTGCGTTACTAATAAAGGGCAACATGGGTGTGAAATTAACCCCATTAACGTCCTGTTCTTTTAATAAAAATTAGTTAGGTGTTGCGTTGGCCGGGAATCGAACCCGGGTCAACTGCTTGGAAGGCAGCTATGCTCACCACTATACCACCAACGCACACGGGGAAAAGATTGCTTCAGCCTTTCTTGTGCAACTCCCCGTCAGTGGCCTATGGCCACCCGTGGACCTGTTACAATCCTGCCTGCTTCAAACCACAGCCAGCAGGGGGCAGTGGCCTGGGTCCCTGTGCGACTGGCGCTGTGACTTCTCTTTTGCTGCTCGCAAGAGGAGTCTTTTAAAAAAACAACCAACCAACCCACCCACCCCCTGAGAAATTCCTGAAACCTATCCCTGAGCCAAAGCTTTCTAACCCTGCTGCTATTCCGCTGGACGATGGCCCAGACAGGTTTGGGACTTGGTGGATGCCTCTTCACTAGACGTTTTCAAAGAGGGGATGGCTCTGCCTCTGTCTTGGATAGCAGATCCAACAAATCCTGCCTCTTGGCCGGAGGTTGGAGCAGAAAGCCCTGGCTGTCCCCTCCTCTAGGCTCAGCCGCGCCCCTCTGTTTTCCAGCACTCTGGGGAAGAATTCAGCGGCTCTTCCCTCTTCCGTCCATATTGAAATTACTTTGTTTTAAAGGGTAACTCCGGATTATAAATCGTGGCTCCCTTTTTGATCTTCTTTTCGCAGATGGCTGCAACCACTCAGGGGAGTCTCTCTGGGAGCAGAGCAGCGGAGAAACATGGGCTACACTTTGCCACTTGAGGCAGTCTGCCTATGGGGGGGGAGTGTGATGGGGGGCCATTGTCTGCCCCCGGCTCCTTTCCCTACCCCACATAATTAGGGAGAGAAAAAGAACGTGGAGATGCCAGGGATTGAACCCGGGACCTCATACATGCGAAGCATGCGCTCTACCACTGAGCTACATCCCCTCCTTGAAGCAACTTTCCCATACACCAGATTTGCTTCCAGCGCTGGGCTGGGGCGCCCAGCACCCAGGATATGATGTCTATGAAAATCAGACTCCCACTTTCCAGACAAGACGAGGTGGCCGAGTGGTTAAGGCGATGGACTGCTAATCCATTGTGCTCTGCACGCGTGGGTTCGAATCCCATCCTCGTCGGTCCCCTTGCTTTAGTTCCCTTTTTGGGGTGGAACACATCAGCACCAAAGTGTGGGCTCACGGTCCCTCCCCCCCCCTGGCTGTGCTTTGGGCGGCAGGGGAGTTCCAAGCAAGCTCCTGTTTATAAAGCCCCAGGCACGGAAGGGTCACCCTGCTTCTTGCAACCTCCGGCCTTCAAAGCAGCCGTGAAAGAGTTTGTGACAAGGGCAGGCAGGAGGTCGCTGGTGCCTTTTGCTGTATGCGAGCCTGTGCTGCGCAAAGGCGGCGACAACTACTCCAAGGTACAAGCTCCTCTTTCGTCCTGCTTGGGGGTCATTCTCTAACCTGAGCCACTGATTCGTATTTCCAGCCCCATCCATACCTGGTCCTTTCCCTCGCTAGCTTTCCTTTGCTTATCTCCGCCCCCACAGGTGGTCTTCCCCTGTAGCCCCAGCGGTCCTTGCGCCTTCTCGGTTGTGCTTTCACCGCGCTGAGCTTTCGTACAATGAAGAAGAAATTACATCGGCTGCCGTAGTAGAAACGAGTCAATGGCCCCAAAGGAGAAGCCACGAATAGATAATGCTACGTGTGAAAGGGAAGTGGAGGTATGTGGCCTTCAAAGCAGATGTCTCTGTGGCGCAATCGGTTAGCGCGTTCGGCTGTTAACCGAAAGGTTGGTGGTTCGAGCCCACCCAGGGACGAGCTCTATTTAAACCGGCTGTGCTTTTAACAACTTCCAGGCACATTTGCGTCTGCTGTTACATTGTTACATTATCCAAATGGTTCACACAGGGACTATTTTATAACCTGCGCCGTGTCTACACCACACTCTAGCCCCCTGATTAACCTTGGAATCGCAGACACAGGAGTGGGAAGTCCGTTGACTTCCCAGCAGTTGGGGGATCTTTTCTGGTTGCACCGATTTGTCTTGGCCATTTAGTTTAGCCTCCTGTGTGCCCCCCTCGTGGCAATAAATGGACGGATGGTTAAAAAGTTGGTTCTCAGCGTCAAAGTACAAAGGCCACAAAGTGGCGCCATATCCAAAGGCGTGTCATGTCCATCTCGCTCGACTCCTTTTAAACAGATTTATGTTCACCGAAATATTTTTCTCCCTAGAAATCCAAAAACAGATTTTGAGTTTCTATATATAAACCCCACAGTAGGGACTCGGCCTTGGAACAGCTATCTGAGGAGGGGGCAGACTGGGGAGTCACTCAATAAGGCCTTTAAAGATACTGTTCCTTGGGTACTTTTCATCTCCCCCGAGGCTACCTGCCACCTACATCCGTCAACCAACCCTGGGCCAAGTCTGCATTTCACTACCAACTTTTCAGTTCAGTGTAAATGGAATCACCCCAATTCCAGCATAGTCGGATTAGAAAATGGGCTGAAAACTTGACTACGACTAAGGTCTGAACATCTTATAAGTAACTTTCTCTTCCGGTGAGCTAATGGTACCAAAACTAGATCGCATTTGCAGACGGACCTAATTGCAACATTTATAGAACGCGAAGGTTTGCACTAACCAGACTCCATGTTTAGAGGGGAAAAAACCACTTAGCAAATGTAACCCTGATTAAAGCACGTAAAGGGTGAATTTCAACTCTTTCGCGTGGGCACGTGGTGGCTCTTAGAAGAGCCTTTGGGGGCGTTGGTTCGGGAGCCGGCGGGCTCCGAGGGGAGCGGCCCTAGGCTCTCTCCCCGCGGATGCGGCGCGCCAGCTGGATGTCCTTGGGCATGATGGTGACTCGCTTGGCGTGGATGGCGCACAGGTTGGTGTCCTCGAAGAGCCCCACCAGATAAGCCTCGCTCGCCTCCTGCAAGGCCATGACGGCCGAGCTCTGGAAGCGCAGGTCCGTCTTGAAGTCCTGGGCGATCTCCCGCACCAGGCGCTGGAAGGGCAGCTTGCGGATCAGCAGCTCGGTGGATTTCTGGTAGCGGCGGATTTCCCGCAGGGCCACGGTGCCGGGGCGGTAGCGATGGGGCTTCTTCACCCCGCCCGTGGCGGGGGCGCTTTTCCGGGCAGCTTTAGTGGCGAGCTGCTTGCGGGGCGCTTTGCCACCGGTGGATTTACGAGCCGTCTGCTTGGTACGGGCCATGCTCGCTGCAGCGCGCTACCAGCCTTTCTCCAGTCCCGCCGCAGAGCAATAAGCACCGCGCCGCCGCTGTGCGCCATTTATAGCCCAGTCCTGGCTCCTGATTGGCTAGGAGCAGCCGGGCGACCGTTGAGGGGTTTAAATTTCCCGGGCTCAGCATGGATTGGCCATAGGGGGCGGCTCCCTCTGTTGGGCTCATGAGGCTTCTGGGGTTTGAGCGCTTCTCGCCTTTGGAAGTGCAGGGGGCGGGGACTGGTCTCTGGGGCACGGGGATTGGCTGGAACTTGAAAACCGCCACCTCCTCACAAGAGTGCGGGGGTCAGGTGTGTCAAGGAGGGTTGCTAGAACTAAGTCCTCGCCTCTGATTGGCTGGCCAGTATTTGAATTTCCCGGGCTTGACAGGGATTGGCTGGAGATTTTACGCCCACGCGTGTTTGTCCACAGGTGCCCGTGGACCTGTGTCCCCCCCCACCCCACCCCCGTCGCTCTCCCGGGGGGAGACAAGGCTCCCTGGTGGCGAAGCGCTGTGGCAGGCTGGTCCTTGATCTCTGCTGCTAAATTCGGGGTGTCGGCGCTAAAGGGGGGTGGGGTGAGTCAGCGGCTCGTGCACCGTGCAGGGGGACCCCGGCCCCGCAACGGGCCCCGGGCTCCCCTCTGCCCATGCAGTGGCAGCAAAGACTCAAACTGCGACTCCCAACGTGAGCCACGTGTGCAGAACGTTTCTGTCGGCCCCACACCGGGGGGGCAGTTTTCCCCTCTGCAACTCCACCTAGAAACAAACCTCCGGCTTGCATTTGAATCTGTGCCTCTCCTCTGAATGCACTTCCCGCCCCTCCGGCTCGATGTTATAAACACCGAGTGAATGAAACACTGAATGAAAGCAAGATCCACAGGAGAATATGATCCATAAGTCTGAATTTTTCAAGGGTATGAGGATCACAATAATTTCCATGGCAACATATGATATGAAGTCCTAAGTACAGGGTCGGGGGCTTTGATATAGGCTCTAGCGAAAGGCAAGCTAGACTATGGGGCAGGTGGGAAGCTCTTATTCCTAACCACATGGTTTGTTCTGTCCTGATCCCCCGCTTCATTGGCGCCCGTAGAAGCAGGATCTGGGTGGTTGTTGGGTGCGGGGGGGGAGGTGTTATGATCTAATGATTAAAGCACATGTCCCGACATCTGGATTCTATGCCAGAGACGCTGCTTTGTGTGACCCTTTGCATGGCTTTTAGCATCTCTGATCTTCTCCCTCCCCCCAAAGGGGCACGTTTTCTAAGGAGTGAATTCGCTTTGTGGCTGCTGAATGAGAACGGAGGGGATGCGTGCGTGGCGGGAGGTCTGAAAAGATCCGCCCTTGGAAACAAAATGTTTCCTTTCTTCTCCAGCCGGCTGCAGCTCATTGCGAGCCAGGCCAAAGGACAAGGGTGTTTCACTAAAGACAGAAATGAGGGGTCTCCTGTCCCATTCATTTACTCTTAACATTGTTGGCCTTCTCACTCATGGGACAGCTCCAGCTCTTGACCTCACAACCTGGGAGAGAAAAACAAATTCACAGCTTTCATCTACCCCCTCAAACTCTTAAAACGAAACCTCTATCTTTGCCGGATTTCATGGATATCTATTTTCTTTTCGCCCTGTATGAATTGGGACCGACTGCTTTGTTCCGTTTACACCACGGACACTAAGCATCCCATTTCAGTATCACAGCTCTATAGTCTAGTACAGACTTCCTAGGAACTATAAGGGACTGACAAGCTCTTTTTAGGGATTTGTGGGTGGCTCTTAAAAGAGCCTTTGGGTTCACGCAGATCGAGTCGCGGGGAAACTTCTCCCCCAGGGGACGCAGCAGCCTCACTTGCCCTTAGCCTTATGGCTCTCGGTTTTCTTGGGCAGCAGCACCGCCTGGATGTTGGGCAGGACCCCTCCCTGGGCGATGGTGACTTTGCCCAGCAGCTTGTTCAGCTCCTCGTCGTTGCGGATAGCCAGCTGCAAGTGGCGGGGGATGATGCGGGTTTTCTTGTTGTCGCGGGCGGCGTTGCCAGCCAGCTCCAGGATTTCAGCAGTCAGATACTCCAGCACTGCAGCCATGTAAACGGGGGCGCCAGCACCCACTCGCTCCGCATAGTTCCCCTTGCGCAGCAGCCGGTGCACACGGCCTACAGGAAACTGCAGCCCCGCACGAGACGAACGAGACTTGGCCTTAGCTCGCACTTTCCCACCTTGCTTTCCGCGGCCAGACATGACAACGACTTGCTCAAACTCTGCTCACAAAAACGAAATGTAACAATATCTATTTTCTCTCGTTGCTGGCCTTTTATTCCCTCACGGGGATGGGGCGAGCGGCTCCTGATTGGCTGCCTCATGCGTCTCTTCCAAAACACCCAATGGGAAAGACACTTCGCAACCCCGCCAATCGGGAAAGAAAGAGGGGGCTGCCGTCCAATCGCCGCGCAGCATTTCGACGAAGCCCCTTTACATCGGCGGCCACGACTAGAAATGGCGGCCCGATATGGAAGCAGCCAATAGGAAGGGTGGAATTAGGCTACCCTCATTTGCATAGGGGCGCTATAAAGAGAGGATTCTCGGCCGGGCGGATTATTGCCTTGCTGGTTCTGTTCTGCGTTGTCAGGAGCGGTCGAGATGCCTGAGCCGGCGAAGTCCGCTCCCGCGCCCAAGAAGGGCTCCAAGAAAGCGGTGACCAAGACCCAGAAGAAAGGGGACAAGAAGCGCCGCAAGACCCGGAAGGAGAGTTACTCCATCTATGTCTACAAGGTGCTGAAGCAGGTTCACCCCGACACTGGCATCTCCTCCAAGGCCATGGGCATCATGAATTCCTTCGTCAACGACATCTTCGAGCGCATTGCTGGGGAGGCGTCCCGCCTGGCGCATTATAACAAGCGCTCCACCATCACCTCCCGGGAGATCCAGACCGCCGTGCGCCTGCTGCTGCCCGGGGAGCTGGCCAAACACGCCGTGTCTGAGGGCACCAAGGCTGTGACCAAGTACACCAGCTCCAAGTAATCGCGCTGTGTTCTCCAAGAGACTTCAACTATGAACCCAAAGGCTCTTTTAAGAGCCACCCACTTTTTCCATGAGAGAGCTGAGAGTCCTAGCCAATACCCCTGTAAAAACATGATCAATGCGTTTTAGAGTATTAACTTATATGTAAGATATTTCTATGAGGAATGAGAATTTTTCTAGAAAGCTATTGTCTTAAGGTTTGCTATATATAGATAAAAATATTCTGTTCTATTAATGTCTACTATTCAGCAATGGCATCTGAACACCTTTATGTTTATGCAATAGAAAATATCAATTTTTATAAAATACTAGTGGTGAAGATTTTTTTAGTGTATTTTCCCTAATAATTCTTACCATGTCCATCCAGAAAACAGAAGGGATTAGTTCATAGCTCTAAAACAAATGGCACCAAAATACTTAAAGAGACTGGGGAAGGAGAGGCCTAGAGCCATTATGAGTGTAAACATGCAGACTGGATTTCTCTAATTAGAAAATGAATGTTAATTTTAAAAATCACCATTTAGTTATTTGGGGAGGCATCCATTCTTGTGATATCTGTGTCTTCAATGAAAGAGGCTTTAGTCACTGTTTTACCCTTAATTGTTTGCTTTTTTTTATCTAGAGTTAACCCCCCCCCAAGTTTTGTAACTGCAAGAAAATTGTATTCGTAGAGTAAAATCTCTAACGTTAGGCTGATACACTTTCGCTGTAAACTTTGAATCCATTAGAATAAATATTCCCATATTCACTTCCCCCAAGACTTAAAGAAAACCATTGTGAAATAACCTGAAGCTGCTTTTATAGACAAGTCAAATTACAAATTGGCATTCGATCTTTGCAGAGAAAGGTATATTGTAAGGGTAGTATACACTTCCAGCCTTTTAACAAAATACCACATTTAGTATAAAGAAAAGTACTCCTTTTCTCCTTTTCCTTTTCTTTTTGCGAATACAGACTAACACGGCTGTTCCTCTGAAACCACATTTAGTATAAGCTGCCATCTCCTTACAACTGTAAGAGAAAAGGAGGACTTGTGGCACCTTTGAGACTAACCAATTTATTTGAGCATGAGCTTTCGTGAGCTACAGCTCACTGCATCGGATGCATGAAAGCTTCTGCTCAAATAAATTGGTTAGTCTCGAAGGTGCCACAAGTCCCCCTGTTCTTTTTGCGAATACAAACTAACACGGCTGCTACTCTGAAAACTGTAAGAGAGACACTGAGGATTTTCTGTCCTTTCCAGTTTTGACATGGAGCTATATTTTTATTTATTTTTTCATATTAACGTCACACACACACACACCCCGCCAGCACATGGAAGTTAAATAGTTGACCTGGGAGTCACCTGCACCGAGGCAGTCCAAGGGTCTCGAAGAGCGGGGGCTGGGGTGTAGCTCAAACAGTCTTTGACTCCAAACTGCGGCCAACGTGATTCTCTCGGCCAGAGAAGTGGGGAGGAGACAAAAGGTCACTTGACGTTTGCAAATATCCAGGTGTTTAGGATGCTCCTAAGTGTGAATTGGGACACACCCCGCCGTTGGGCTGAGGATGAAAAAGCTGTATTCCCTCCAAGTGGCGCCGTGGGAGGTTTTTTTTCCCCCTCTGCAAAGTTTGGGGCTGGGCAGACTTCAGGAACTGAATGCCAGGACGCGGCAGAAAGAACAAAGCGCAGCGCCCCATTTGCGCGGCCGTGGGGTGGATCCATTTGTGCTCCGCCACCTCTCCAGCCCCAAACCTTTGTGATACTTCCTGGATCCCAATAAGACAAATAACCGATTTCCAGAGTCCAAAAGGGACTTTTTAAATCTCTTCCGAGCTAAGGGCGGGGAATATGCAGTCCTGCCCTCTCTGTTACCCGACGGAGCCAAAAATGCAGGGGCCTAAGGGCAATCAAAGGACACCCAGACTTCCTCTAACACTCACTTTGCGGCCTGCCTCAGCTCAGAGATCCCTGACATGATTCGCAGCCCATGAACTCAACGCTGAGCGGTAACATGTAATTCCGAAAGTCCTAATGCTAAAATGACACTCTTCTTCCCCCCCCCGACCTTTTGCGCATGCTCTGGGGCAGATAAGGCGCCAAATTTTACTATTTAATTTTAAATGAAAGACTGTACGCTGATTGGCCAGCGTGGCAAGAGGTCTCATTGGTGGAAGCGGAGAAGCTAGGGTTTGGGAGGCAAAAGGGGAGTTGAAGTACAGGTAGGTGCATTGTAAGGAGATTGATCACTTTAGATAAGCTATTACCAGCAGGAGAGTGGGGTGGGGGGAGAGAAAACCTGGATTTGTGCTGGAAATGGCCCACCTGATGATCACTTTAGATAAGCTATTACCAGCAGGAGAGTGGGGTGGGGGGAGAGAAAACCTGGATTTGTGCTGGAAATGGCCCACCTTGATTATCAGACACATTGTAAGGAGAGTGATTACTTTAGATAAGCTATTACCAGCAGGAGAGTGGGGTGGGGGGAGAGAAAACCTTTTGAACTGATAAACACCCATTTTTTCACAATCTGTGTGTATAAAGAAAAGGAGTACTTGTGGCACCTTAGAGACTAACCAATTTATTTGAGCATGAGCTTTCGTGAGCTACAGCTCACTTCATCAGATGTATACCGTGGAAACTGCAGCAGACTTTATATATACACAGAGAATATGAAACAATACCTCCTCCCACCCCACTGTCCTGCTGGTAATAGCTTATCTAAAGTGATCATCAGGTGGGCCATTTCCAGCACAAATCCAGGTTTTCTCACCCTCCACCCCCCCACACAAATTCACTCTCCTGCTGGTGCTAGCCCATCCAAAGTGACAACTCTTTACATAATCAAGTCGGGCTATTTCCTGCACCAATCCAGGTTCTCTCACATCCCCCCCACCCCCATACACACACAACCTCACTCTCCTGCTGGTAATAGCTCATCTAAACTGACCACTCTCCAAGTTTAAATCCAAGTTAAACCAGAACATCTGGGGGGGGGGGGGGGGTAGGAAAAAACAAGAGGAAACAGGCTACCTTGCATAATGACTTAGCCACTCCCAGTCTCTATTTAAGCCTAAATTAATAGTATCCAATTTGCAAATTAATTCCAATTCAGCAGTTTCTCGCTGGAGTCTGGATTTGAAGTTTTTTTTGTTTTAAGATAGCGACCTTCATGTCTGTGATTGCGTGACCAGAGAGATTGAAGTGTTCTCCGACTGGTTTATGAATGTTATAATTCTTGACATCTGATTTGTGTCCATTTATTCTTTTACGTAGAGACTGTCCAGTTTGACCAATGTACATGGCAGAGGGGCATTGCTGGCACATGATGGCATATATCACATTGGTGGATGTGCAGGTGAACGAGCCTCTGATAGTGTGGCTGATGTTATTAGGCCCTGTGATGGTGTCCCCTGAATAGATATGTGGGCACAATTGGCAACGGGCTTTGTTGCAAGGATAAGTTCCTGGGTTAGTGGTTCTGTTGTGTGGTATGTGGTTGTTGGTGAGTATTTGCTTCAGGTTGCGGGGCTGTCTGTAGGCAAGGACTGGCCTGCCTCCCAAGACTTGTGAGAGTGTTGGGTCATCCTTTAGGATAGGTTGTAGATCCTTAATAATGCGTTGGAGGGGTTTTAGTTGGGGGCTGAAGGTGACCGCTAGTGGCGTTCTGTTATTTTCTTTGTTAGGCCTGTCCTGTAGTAGGTAACTTCTGGGAACTCTTCTGGCTCTATCAATCTGTTCTATCAAGATCTATCAATCTATCAAGATCTCTGTCAAGCTTTCTTACAACTACAATACCCACCTGCAGAAGTAAAGAAACAGATTGATAGAGCCAGAAGAGTTCCCAGAAGTTACCTACTACAGGACAGGCCTAACAAAGAAAATAACAGAACGCCACTAGCGGTCACCTTCAGCCCCCAACTAAAACCCCTCCAACGCATTATTAAGGATCTACAACCTATCCTAAAGGATGACCCAACACTCTCACAAGTCTTGGGAGGCAGGCCAGTCCTTGCCTACAGACAGCCCCGCAACCTGAAGCAAATACTCACCAACAACCACATACCACACAACAGAACCACTAACCCAGGAACTTATCCTTGCAACAAAGCCCGTTGCCAATTGTGCCCACATATCTATTCAGGGGACACCATCACAGGGCCTAATAACATCAGCCACACTATCAGAGGCTCGTTCACCTGCACATCCACCAATGTGATATATGCCATCATGTGCCAGCAATGCCCCTCTGCCATGTACATTGGTCAAACTGGACAGTCTCTACGTAAAAGAATAAATGGACACAAATCAGATGTCAAGAATTATAACATTCATAAACCAGTCGGAGAACACTTCAATCTCTCTGGTCACGCAATCACAGACATGAAGGTCGCTATCTTAAAACAAAAAAAACTTCAAATCCAGACTCCAGCGAGAAACTGCTGAATTGGAATTCATTTGCAAATTGGATACTATTAATTTAGGCTTAAATAGAGACTGGGAGTGGCTAAGTCATTATGCAAGGTAGCCTGTTTCCTCTTGTTTTTTCCTACCCCCCCCCCCCCCAGATGTTCTGGTTTAACTTGGATTTAAACTTGGAGAGTGGTCAGTTTAGATGAGCTATTACCAGCAGGAGAGTGAGGTTGTGTGTGTATGGGGGTGGGGGGGATGTGAGAAAACCTGGATTGGTGCAGGAAATAGCCCGACTTGATTATGTAAAGTGTTGTCACTTTGGATGGGCTAGCACTAGCAGGAGAGTGAATTTGTGTGGGGGGGTGGAGGGTGAGAAAACCTGGATTTGTGCTGGAAATGGCCCACCTGATGATCACTTTAGATAAGCTATTACCAGCAGGACAGTGGGGTGGGAGGAGGTATTGTTTCATATTCTCTGTGTATATATAAAGTCTGCTGCAGTTTCCACGGTATACATCTGATGAAGTGAGCTGTAGCTCACGAAAGCTCATGCTCAAATAAATTGGTTAGTCTCTAAGGTGCCACAAGTACTCCTTTTCTTTTTGCGAATACAGACTAACACGGCTGTTCCTCTGAAACCTGTCATTGTAAGGAGAGTGATTACTTTAGATAAACTATTACCAGCAGGAGAGTGGGGTGGGGGGAGAGAAAACCTTTTGAAGTGATAAACACCCATTTTTTCACAATCTGTGTGTATAAAAACATCCTCACTGCATTTTCCACTTTTATGCATCCAGTGAAGTGAGCTCTAGCTCACAAAAGCTTGTGCTCAAATAAATTGGTTAGTCTCTAAGGTGCCACAAGTACTCCTTTTCTTTTTGCAAATACAGACTAACACAGCTGCTACTCTGATACAGGTAGGTAGTTCTCCTGCCCATCTTGTTCCCTCTCCGTTTTTCCTCTGGTCGGGACGGGGCACCGCAAAATTCGGAGGGAATCTGGATTATTGTCCAATATTTAGGGTATTGGCAAACCTGAGTGTGTCTTTCTTGCCACACATGGGGGTGGGGTGTGAAGGTCATCTCAAGGCTAATTAGGGTGGCCAATTCTCCAGGAATCGGCATCGATCTCCTGGTGAGTATTGAAAGCAATTTGCGAGATTTTAGTAGGATATTTTAAGGAAATGATATTGTCATGTTGGCGGGGAAATCTCTTGGAATAGCTTCAAGCCGAGTTGGCAACTGTAATGCATGAAGAAACTCTAGGGCTCAAGGTTTTCCTGGCAAACGTGATCCACTCAGAACATGCCAAGACAGGGGTTCTCAAACTGGGGATTGGGACCCCTCAGGGGGTTGTGAGGTAATTACATGGGGGGTGGGGTCATGAGCTGTCGGCCTCCACCCCAAATCCCACTCTGCCTCCAGCATTTATAATGGTGTTAAATATATTTAAAAGTGTTTTTAATTTATAAGGGAGGGTCACACTCAGAGGCTTGCTATGTGAAAGGGATCACCAGTACAAACGTTTGAGAATTACTGTGCGAAGAGAAACACCGTGAAGGCCATGGATGTGGTGTATACATTGAAACATCAAGGTCGCACCTTACATGGGTTTGGGGGGGTTGAACCCTCAGCCATACCCACAAAGTAAATGTTCCATCTTTAAAAGCCCTTCCCTGGCTGCATGGAAAGAGCTGGATTTGCTCCAAGCCAAAGTGATGTAAATAACAGAGTTAAGGTAAAAACATTCTGAAGTCATCTCAGAACCGAAGTAACACACAACAAAGTTTAGGTTCTGAGTGGGATTTTCTGTTTACCCCACATCCCTAGTGAGAGAAAGCCCAGGCCTTTTAAATGGAAGCACAGTAAAATCAATATGCTTTCCAAAACACGCCTAAACTACACACTTTGCCAAACCCTATAGAATAGCTCCTCTTACTTCAGTTAAAAACAAAAATGGAAAAGAAGAAACCCTGTATTTCTCAAAATGTAGTCCCCTCTGTAACTGTGACCACCCAGAATGACAGTAACAAGAACATAAAAGCTGCCACACTGGGTCAGACTATGGTCCATTTTGCTCAATATCCTATCCCTGAAAGTGGTCCATACTAGAGCTTCAGGAGGGAGTGTACAGAACAGGGCAATCCCAGAGTAATCTACCCTGGCTTCCATTCCTGGCTCATGGTAGTCAGAGGGTTAGGGTCACCTGGAGCCACTAGTGCAGGGGTTCTCCCAACAAATTTTTTGGTGGCCACGGAGTATGGCCACCAATTCTTGCTGGTGGCCACGCTGACAATTTTTCCTGAAATACTTAATTAACTTTAGAATAAATAAATATGCACATATACATGGTCCAAATCGTAATTTATTTATGTAGGGTTTTTCAGATTGGGACATAAAAATACTGTGCAAATTATCTCTATTCTTTACTGGCCCTAAACAGAATAGAAACACAAATAAGGCGCTCTGCATGTTCTTGTCAGTTGTTGTTTCTTTTCCTTTTTTGGTTGCTTCAAAAAAAAAAAAAAGATTTGCTGCTAGTAAGTCTGGTGCTGTGAAAAGTGATATTAACAAACATACAAATATCACTTTTCACAGCAGAAACAAGAAAAGGAGTACTTGTGGCACCTTAGAGACTAACCAATTTATTTGAGCATGAGCTTTCGTGAGCTACAGCTCACTTCATCAGATGTATACCGTGGAAACTGCAGCAGACTTTATATACACACAGAGAATATGAAACACAGCAGAAACCTTACTCAGCCCGAGCAAGCCCTGGGACAAATTAAGCCCTGGATGGGGAGATGGGCAAGGAGGCAGTGGGGCCCAGGGACCATGGCGGGGATGGTGAGCCTGGGGCCAGAGCCTGCCATCACATGGATGGAGCCTGAAGCTGAAGTCTGCTCCCCCCACCGGGAAAGTCACCAGCTGCCTGCACCTCCAGCATTTGTGTCTTCAGAGGGGGCAGAGCTCAACCCCTGCTGGCAGACGGCCAGTGCTTTGTTCCCTCCCCGAATCACAGCCCAGGAGGCTGTGGCTGCAAAAATAGCCCCCACTGTCTGCATTTGAGAAACGCTGTACTGACAGGCCTATCTTCCCTGCATGTATTCAGTTCTTTTCTGACCCCCAAGTTATGCTTTTGGGCAGCACAACATCCCATGGCACTGGATTAGCTGCATGTTGTGTGGGAAAAGTACTTTCTCTTATTTGTATTAAACATGCTGAATATTAATTTCCTTGGGTGGACCCTGGTTTTTGTATTGTGTACCTCTCCTCTTCCTGCTGTGTTCTTAGAAATCTCTCTCATCTGTCACGCCACACACACACCTCCCCTTTACTTTTAATGGAACACATCTGATCTAGGGTTGACAGAGTAGCAGAAATTGTACCCTCATTCTCTTTGCTATAGGATAGTTCCATATCATAATTCTGGAGTTCCAGATTCTAGCATAAGAGTTTAGTATCAGATTTCTACATGTAATGTAACCATATGAGGAGTGAATGGTCTGCGTCCACAGTAACTTCTTACCATGTAAACATAGCTGCAAATCTTTAAGACTGCATACAATGGCTAGACACACTTTCTGTATAATAGCATAATTTTTCTCCCCAGTGGTAGACCCAGGGAGCTCAATCTATTTAGGTTAATAAAGACAAGGTTAAGGGGTGATTTGATCAGTCTGAAAGTAGCAAAATAGGGAACAGCTACTTGAGAAAGTTGCCGCCCTTACAATTAATTGTCCCTAGTAATTATTTAACTTGAATGTATCAAACGCCCTGCCAGATAACTTTGCCTACAGCGGACAAAAGTAATGCATAAAATCCAGTAAAACAAAAAGTAACATGCCAACTAGCCAGATAAACTTGTGACAAATTAATTCATATTTCTTGCAATGCTGAGACCAACAGCTGTTGTGAATTACACTTTTCCTTTGCCAGGTAGCCTTAGTCCAGGGCTTAAAACACAGCTGGAGTTCCAGGTGACTAGTTCCTTTCCCATCTTGACTATCAATTTTCTGTGTGGTTTTAGGAAAGACACTTAGGCCAATGTTTGCGGGCTGTGATGCTTATAAGCACCTCAGCACAGGGATCCCAGATGAAAATAATCAAACTGCACAGCACAGCACAAGTGAACCCAAAAACTGCCTTTTGGGAGTTCTAAACGTTTTGTTCCTGGGTGGGGGTTGCTCTGCTTGAAAACTCTAGGATTCATTCGTTGGAAGGGGTAGAGCGGCAGAAGCTGCAACTGCTCACTCACCTGTGCAGCTCTAGGATCTGGTTAGTGCCAAACGGGAACAGGGTTTCAGAAGTTTGTGCTATGAGAAGGACAAAGGAGAAGAAGCAGCATTTTCCCTACCGCCCCCAATGTGTGGCTCAGGGATCTGATTAGTGCAAAACCAGGACAAGGTTTCTGAAAAAAAGTGTCATATGGGGGATACCAAAAGAGTAGACAACGTTTTCCCGAGCTACCCCTACCTCCCCAAGACAGGGAGCGATTCCCAGCTCTTTCTGAAATTGTGGGTGGCTCTTAAAAGAGCCTTTGGTTTTAGGGGGGGTGGGTATCCACGCTCACTTGCCCTTGGCTTTGTGGCTCTCGGTTTTCTTGGGCAGCAGCACCGCCTGGATGTTGGGCAGGACCCCGCCCTGGGCGATGGTGACTCCCCCCAGCAGCTTGTTCAGCTCCTCGTCGTTGCGCACGGCCAGCTGCAAGTGGCGGGGGATGATGCGGGTTTTCTTGTTGTCGCGGGCGGCGTTGCCAGCCAGCTCCAAGATCTCCGCGGTCAGGTACTCCATCACCGCGGCGAGGTACACGGGGGCGCCGGCTCCCACCCGCTCCGCGTAGTTCCCCTTGCGCAGCAGCCGGTGCACCCGCCCGACCGGGAACTGCAGCCCCGCCCGAGAAGAGCGAGACTTGGCCTTGGCCCGCACCTTCCCGCCTTGCTTTCCGCGGCCAGACATGACGAGCAGCCCCAAGCACCTGCCTAAGCGAGCAAACGCACAGCGACACTCCAGCAAAGCTGCAGGGCTCCCGGCCTTTTATTCCCTCACGGGGATGGGGCGAGCGGCTCCTGATTGGCTGCCTCATGCGTCTCTTCCAAAACACCCAATGGGAAAGACACTTCGCAACCCCGCCAATCGGGAAAGAAAGAGGGGGCTGCCGTCCAATCGCAGCGCAGCATTTCGACGAAGCCCCTTTACATCGGCGGCCACGACTAGAAATGGCGGCCCGATATGGAAGCAGCCAATAGGAAGGGTGGAATTAGGCTACCCTCATTTGCATAGGGGCGCTATAAAGAGAGGACTCTCGGCCGGGCGGATTATTGCTTTGCTGGTTCTGTTCTGCGTTGTCGGGAGCGGTCGAGATGCCTGAGCCGGCGAAGTCCGCTCCCGCGCCCAAGAAGGGCTCCAAGAAAGCGGTGACCAAGACCCAGAAGAAAGGGGACAAGAAGCGCCGCAAGACCCGGAAGGAGAGTTACTCCATCTATGTCTACAAGGTGCTGAAGCAGGTTCACCCCGACACCGGCATCTCCTCCAAGGCCATGGGCATCATGAATTCCTTCGTCAACGACATCTTCGAGCGCATTGCTGGGGAGGCGTCCCGCCTGGCGCATTATAACAAGCGCTCCACCATCACCTCCCGGGAGATCCAGACCGCCGTGCGCCTGCTGCTGCCCGGGGAGCTGGCCAAACACGCCGTGTCTGAGGGCACCAAGGCTGTGACCAAGTACACCAGCTCCAAGTAATCGCGCTGTGTTCTCCAAGAGACTTCAACTATGAACCCAAAGGCTCTTTTAAGAGCCACCCACTGCCTCCTAGGAGAGAGCTGTAAACATTGCACGTTGTGTGAGCTCCGGGCCTTGCTAAGGCAAGGCCCAGCAAAGCGTATAGCGCCTCTTATTATTTGCATGTTCTTTTCTTTAGCCTGCTGTCTGTTTTGGGGCTTTCTGGGGCAGTGGGGGTTGTGCTTTAGCAAGCCTTGATTGCCGCCTTGATGGATTTAATTGCCTATTCGTTTATATTAAGTAGTCTGCGGCTTTGCTTTAAGCGGCTCTGTCCTGGAAGTTTGGGGGGGGGTTACCTTGCTCTTTAGCGGCGGGGCTGCGGAACCTTGTAGCCTTGGGGAGCCTTTGTTCTAATCACTCAATAGATTCTGTAGGATTGAATAATTAGTTTTTTTTTTTACTGTTGCTTTGTACAATAAGAGCCTAGGAAAACCTGGTACAGAGTGCTTAAAATCAAATTTAAAATATTTTTGTAACGTTAACTTTAAAATATAGGAACTGAGAAGTCTGCACAGCGGGTACCGTGCTTAGTTTATCCGCAAAGCCAAAGTTAAGGCCATAGGAGACATACCCTACCCATCACCCCCAGCCCGAAGTCAACAGGGCTCTGCCCCACGGGTAACCAAACCTCTCGCCATCTACCAGCCGCCATGTGACATTCGTTGAGTTGCCCGAAGGCCCCAGTCCCCACTTGCGTGGACAACCTCCCACGCTGGGAAGGGGAAAGGGAGAGACCTGAAATCCCTGGTCAGTGAAATCTCCTCTGCTGCGTTAGGACCCCTGCCATTAACGTGCAACAAATGGGGCGTTTCTGGGAGGGAATCAAAGTTTAGGGTGCTTTTTGCTGAACGACTGGCGGGGACCCCACTCCGTGGGGACCCTCCCCCCACAGTTACTTGGGCGGTGCGGGGGGGGGGTTCACACTAAAGCGCTCCGGGCGGCTCCTCTGCCCGCATTCAAAGATCAAGGCCGGCTATGATTGGACGCGGTACGATCTCATTGGCCGGAAAGGAAATGCGTTTGTGTGTGTGATGGGGGAGGGTTTCTTAACTTTTCCACCTCGGTTTTCCCTCTGATCCCATTACATCCACGCTGTTTGCGGCCAGCCAGCCTTAAACCAGGACCCAAACGACTCCGCTTTATAGAGGCCTTCCTCCCGTCAATTACCATGGATAAGAACACCTGGCTTGGCTGGGTTGCATATGCCCGATCAATCAAGTGCTGTTTTTATCTGTTATCTTTTTGCTACTTTTATTTTTATTTGGGTGGGGGAAGGGAGGTAAAGGTTATTTTTAATTTAAAAAAAAAAAGGCATTAAAAACCCTGCAAAGTGCTTCAGGGCATCACCAGGCCTAAGATCTGCTTTTAGCCCATTCACATTGGGGTTGAAATCCTAAATCGACCCCCAGATGCAGAAGAGCAAGGGAGGGCTGAGGCTTGTCCTGGAGAATGATGTGATCTGGGATACAGCGTTGTACACAGACCGGGCTAAGATAAAAGTGTGTGCGTAGTGCTTGGGTTGGGGGTGTACACAGATGCATCTGATGAAGTAGGTTTTAGCCCACGAAAGCTTATGCTCAAATAAATGTGTTAGTCTCTAAGGTGCCACAAGTCCTCCTGTTCTTTTTGCGGATACAGACTAACAGGGCAGCTACTCTGAAACAGATATCAGGGTTACACCTTGGGGGGGGGGCTGAACCTTCAGCCAGTTGCAAAAAGAAACAATGACCCAAAGAAAGGGGTCTTGAAGGCTGGCTCACTGCCACACCAAAAGTGTTGGGTTTATTTAGCAAAAAGTCAATATTAAATGTATTTTAAATATTCACTCTTCTATGTGCTTTCAATTACTTGCATGGTTAACCAAAGCATTTGGGATGCAATAATCTAGCTCCTCCTGGTGTGGAACAGCAAATAGTATATGTTTGCTTCCTGGAGAGTTCTTTTAAACGGACACAATTCAGCCCAATAGTTTGGACTGGCAACCTTCCCTCAATTTTCACTGATTCTGCAGCCCTAACATGTGAAATGTTTATTTCAGTGTTTTGCACTCATTGTAGCTGCGGTGATGATGGTTCTCTAAGGAGTGACTCTAGCCCAGTGGCTCTCCACCTTTCCAGACTACCGTACCCACCCTTTCAGGAGTCTGATTTGTCTGGTGCGCACACACACCCCCGGCAAGTTTCACCTCATTGTAAAAATGACTTGCTTACAAAATCAGACCTAAAAATACAAAGCGTCACAGCCACGTGGTTGATGAAAAATGCCTGACGTTCACAGTTTGCCATATCATTATGAAATCGATCAATTGGAATATAAATATTGTCCTTGCATTTCGGTGTATAGAACATAGAGCGGTATAAACAAGTCATTGTCTGTATGGAATTTTAGTTTGTACTGACTTTGCTAGGGCTTTTTCTGTAGCCTGTTGTGAAACTAGGCCAATCCCTAGATGCGTGGATGGACCCCCGGAGGACCTCTGGATACACAAACCCCTGGTGGAGAACCCCTGCACTAGAGCTGTAGCTCACGAAAGCTTATGCTCAGATAAATTGGTTCGTCTCTAAGGTGCCACAAGTACTCCTTTTCGTTTTGTGAATACAGACTAACACGGCTGTTACTCGGAAACAACTCTACTACTGTGTTAGGGTCTTTGCTAACACCCTTTTTACCTTGATACTGTTACAATACCGAAAAGCAGGGCTGTCAACTCTCATCATTTTGTCATCCGTCTCCCAATCATCATTGTTTTCTTTAAAGCCCCAGCTCCTGGAGTCAAGTGAATAATGGGGTGCTTTCAGCCTTCCTTCTTAAAGCAAACCTAATGTTTCTAGCCCTGGTGGCTGTGGAGAAAGCTTCAAAACGTGAGACACACCCCCCCACCCCTTAGGCACCCTAAAGGCTCCAAAAGCAGAAGGCAAACAAATGAACTCCAGAAATCTCTTATTTTTTACATAATCTCATGACTTTAAAGTCAAGCTGGTGGTTTTTGGTGAGCCGGACTCATCAGTTTTGAACATTTGGGGTTGGCAATCCTGGACAAATCACCTCCTTTCTTCAAAAAGAAAAGGAGGACTTGTGGCACCTTAGAGACTAGCCCGTTTATTTGAGCAGAAGCTTTCGTGAGCTACAGCTCCCTTCATCGGATGCATCCTGAGCTGTAGCTCACGAAAGCTTATTGTCAAATAAATCGGTTCGTCTCTAAGGTGCCACAAGTCCTCCTGTTCTTTTTGCGGATACAGACTAACACGGCTGCTACTCTGAAACCTCCTTTCTTCACTCAGTCCTTTTCCCTCCTCAGCAATAAGGCTGCTGCTTGAAGGGTAATTAATGATTAAGTGCTGAGCCACAGGATCGCAGTCCCCCATGCTCCCGCCTTTAGCTACAAGGGCAGAGATTTGCACCCCCAGGGCTCCCTTTCCTGTTGTCACATCTCTGCACTGGGATTCAGTTTGCTGGGACAATGGCCAGCCACTGATTGGCTAATCTTTGCCCAATCAGAGCGCAGGACGTCACTTTAAAAAGGCAAAGTCTCTCCCTTCAGTTCGTGAGCCCGGATAGCTCAGTCGGTAGAGCATCAGACTTTTAATCTGAGGGTCCAGGGTTCAAGTCCCTGTTCGGGCGCAAAAATTATTTTATGATTCTGCTGGCAGCTACATTCATCCCTGCACTTTGCTGCATTCACATTTTCCCACAAACCCAGAGACAATTCCTAAAAAAGCGCCCGGTCACATTTCAACCCCCCCATGCCCTGCCCTGTAAAAGACAGTCACACAAAATGGTGTTTGGGCCTGTTGTCAAAAGGTATGAGAGGAATCATTGAGGAGGGGGAGAGAAGAAATAAATAGGGGGGAAATCACTGATTTGAAATGACCATTGTCCAATTCCATTTTATGAACCGGTCTCCAGAAAGCTTTTCTTACCACATCACCGCTGAAGTAGATTGTTCCTGAGCTCAGGGTACAAATCTCTCCCCAGTGTCTCACAGATGCCCCTAGAACAGTGGTTCTCAAACTTTTTTTCCCGCGAACCACTTGAAAATTGTCGAGGGTCCCGGCGGGGCCACTTAATGATCTTTCCAAATGTTGTTCGTACCGTTAGCTAGCTATTGTAAAGCACTTTGGATAAAAGCACGGTATGAAAAAAAACCCTTAATTATAATGAACTTATTTTGTTCCACAAATGAAAGCACACCACTCATATTTTAATACCAGTAGTCT